TGCTGCTTGGGCAATTCTGTGTAAAGGCGGACTCACGCGACCATCAAGGTTTTACTCCGCTAACTAGAGCTGCACAGAGAGGTCATGAACAGATTGTGCAGCTCCTTCTTGAACGACACGACGTGAACCCAAATTCCAAAACGGATTTAGGCTTCACACCTCTGGCTGTGGCTGCAATGAAAGGGAGCGACAATGTTACAAGAATACTGCTTGATCAACCTGGAGTCGATATCAATTCAAATGATGAAATGAATTGTACTCCTCTGTCTGGAGCTGCCCAAAGTGGACACACAGCCGTTGTGGAGCAACTCCTTCAAAGAAAAGATATAGAGTTGGCATCTACCGATGTAAATGGGATGACAGCCCTTGCATTTGCAGCTTTCTATGGTCATCAAGCGACGGCACGTTGTTTGGTCCGGAAAGGCGCGATGCAAGTTCAACCCAAAGGGGAGAACATAATGGCACCACTATCTTGTGCGGTTTCTGGAAGACACAAAGCGATTGTGAAACTTCTTCTTGAGCAGCCCAATATAGATGTCAATACCCCCGACCGCCTGCAGTTAACGCCCCTTGGCCTGGCAGCGCGAGCAGGATCTCGCAAGATCGTCAAGCTTTTCCTCGAACGAGAGGATATCCAGGTGAACTCGACGGACAAGAATGGTATGACGCCACTGATGTGGGCAGCGTCTGGAGGACACGAAGCTGTAATCAGACAATTGTTATGGCGGGCAGAAGTGGATGCAGACCACGAAGCGAATGACGGAAGTACAGCCCTGCTACTAGCCGCTTCAAACGGGCATACAGAAGTCGTTAGACGACTCCTCACTCGAAAAGATGTCAATCCAAACCACCGATCCGCTTGGGGCGCAACACCGTTAGCACAGGCATCGCTGAAAGGGCATGTCCCGGTCATGAACATTCTTCTTGGACATAAGTCTGTTGCGGCAGACCTAGAAGACGAAGACGGCGCCACACCATTGTTACTGGCGGCTTGTAAAGGCCACACTGCAGCCGTACAATTACTACTATCCCAGGGCGATGTGAACGTGAACCATCGAGATGCTGATGGAATGACCGCACTAGCGTTGGCGACAGAAGAAGGCCATGGGGAGATAATAAGGATACTCCTTAGTCATCCAGATATTGAAATAGAAGCAAAAGACGATACAGGCAATAGTCCAGTCTCTCGCGGAGAACTTTGGACGGGGTTTGGCAAGTCTGATTGATGATACTGTATGTAGGTAATCCCGGATCCATTTTTAAAATGGAACACGCCAGAGGGACGCAGCGCGCAATGCGCGCGTCTTCCAGTAGCTTGTCACCATTTCAATGTCAGAGCATATCTTCAAATACAGAAAACCCATATCACTGTTACGGCTTGAAAACCACTCAGTTTATACAGGCCAGAGACCGAATAATTCAGATGAACATACCAAAAACTTTTCTCGATCCAGTAACTGCTGCCACGGAATTAACAAGAGCAACAAGGCTATGAAGCTGCTCAAACCTGTGTGATGATCCTCTGGCCGAGTGCCGAGTCTACCGTCGTATTCATACTCCAATTGCGGTCCTCGATGGCTCTTTCTAGGACATCAAGGTCTCCGAGAACTATCTAAACCCTTTAAACTGGCGCACAAGCAACTTATCTACGCTAACGTGTACGATCTAGAACCTTACATTGTTCCGTTACCCTTGCTGCGAAATGGAGTGGAGCGCTGGGAGCGGCGCTCGAGACGCGGGATATCTAGGTGATTAACTCTATCTATATTGTTAAACGTAACGCTTGCTCCATTCTGCGGGTAACACTGGTGTTTGAAGATAGGGTCCTGATCTACGTGCTTGTGACCCCATGAGCCTAGCAGAGCGTATTAAGGGGTCCTCAGTGCTCACCCCTTCCGCCTTGGATGTGACATCACTGGAAGGCACAGAAAAAAGTAGCAAATGTCATCTGTCTTCATGGATGATAGATGACCAAATGCTTCGCCAACGGGCGTTGGCTCTAGATCTCTATCTTCACCGGTCGGTAATTCATCCCATACTAGTCTGTTCCTACATGCGTCAATGATAAAACAGCACTACCCGACTTCCCTGAACATGCTCTAAAGTCTGTCTCTATATTCACGATTCCGAGATACAACTACACTGGATACAGCAAGCATGTGTAATGTGGTTCCTCGTGTCCTACCGCTCCCTCAGCCGACTGACGCTGTTGTATGGGTTGTGAACCTCACAAGAATGCCAAGTTTCGCTCCTTAACTCGAGGGTCGGCTCTCTCGACAGAAAGTGTCCTTTTTGCCTTAGTAACGGCAGGATGGGTTATTTCATCTAAAGTTCCCAAGCTGCACCGACTCGGCTTTTTACCATATCGAAGATTAAAATTTTCAGCGCAATAGTAGCAGCGCGCCTAATAATATATGGTTAAAGCCCTTCTTTGCCTATCCTCTCATACGGTGCGAGCTGTTGGGCCAACTAAAATACTGTCAACGTTATCAAGAGCATCAGCAATTTGATGTTTTACATTGAAAGGCCAACAATTAATGTTCGAGCCAAAAGTTGCCTGCTTGAACATTCTTATTATTTTGAAATTGACAGTGGCGTCATTGATCTTCTGTAGAAGCTATTCCTTCTTCCTGTTCAGAGCCTCACTATTGAGATTGCCAAAAGCGGGTCTCCCGAATACCTCAGAGTACGACAGATAACCGGGAGAACTTTGTAACTTCAACATATTAATTATTATATCTGCTTTCCATCGGGTTGTTTTGGGTATTACTGCCTCTCTTTTTCCGGTTGGTACTCTAGTTCCATATTCTTGAGTTCTAAGTCGCAAGCCTTTTGGTAAGCTATCTTGACTTGCTCAACCAGAGATTGGCATTCCCACACCCTGGCGGTGAATGAAAGTACAACAGGCGAAAATCAAAGAAAAAGGAGTCCTTCACTTCCCAAGTGACATTTTCCTACAGCATCACCGCAACCGCCAGGATGGCAGCAGCACCCATGAGGCCAGTGGCGATCATACCAGACGGAGCAGCAGCACCGGGTACACCGCTGCCAGAGTTCGAATTAGAGCTGGAACCGCCGCTGGATGTCACTCCAGTCGGCATAGGTCCAGTAGCAGTAGCATAGTGGCTGGAGACCCAATCCTTGACGCTGTTGGGCAGGTCCTGGTACCACGAGGGGTAGTGGCCGTTATGGATCTCGCTGAAGATGGACGAGCGGGCCGATGGGTTCTCAATCTGCGAGAGGAAGGACATGGGGACAGCGGTAACGAGGACCGACTGAATAGAGGGAGGGGGCAGGTCGGCGGATAGGCCAGACGGCATGGTGATGCTGGGACCCGCGGTCATCGAAGGGAAGTTGTTGGAGTCCAAGTTCGATACGGTGCTGGGCGAGTCCGTGGGACCAGGAAGATAGGCGCTGTAGTCTGTTGGGAGGTCGCTGTAGGCCGTAAGGTAGTCCATATAGTTGGTGTCGGTCTCCCTGGTATATTTTTAGATGGGATGCTTAAGGCATATGATGTATAGAGGAAATCAGAGAAAACCTACAGGCTGTTGAGCTGGCTCATCAGACTGTTGTAGTAGTCGTCGTAGGCGTCCTGTCTCTTTTCGACCTCAGCAGCAGCCAGAGCCGAGAGGAACAGAACAGCCAAAGTCTTGGAATGCATTTTGATGGATAAACAAAGGGAAGGAAGAAAAGACAGATGGCCAGTGGAGTATAAATGAAAGTGCGAAAACTGACAGCAGAACTTCTTCGAGAACAGGGGCTGCAGCGCCTTTAGAACAACCCGCCAAGAGAGTCAGAATTGAGCTTCAGTGGACCCTGATCCCTATCCACCAATCCGCCACCCTGTCAGCCTCTGGGATCATGGCTCTGCTCGTATCACTTTATCAAACTCAAGCCCAAGCCAGGCAATCACAACGAGCCATTAGTAAAGGAAAAAAGGAACCCGTCGGTCCTGGAGGGTCAAAGTCTAATCCAACTAAGAAGTGTCCCAATCTACTGGTTCCCAATCTACTGGGGAGTGTCGTGTTTCCAGAAAGGATAGACGAACGGATATGTTTTTGTTGGCTTCGCACCTGAAAAGGACTAGCGTGGCGGGTGTGGCTTCTGGGAGGCTCGTATTCCAGGAGTACATAGGGGTGGGGGGTGCTCTGGTAGGGTTCGGCGGCCTGTATAGCCCAGCGTGGTATGTTGTGGGTCCACTGCAAGTGGAATCGACTAAGCTCAGATAAAGTTTTAAGGGATCACATTACGGCTAATCAAGGCAACGTGGTATTGGGTCATGGTACAGGCACAAAATAAGCAATTCCGGAACTTGTTTAGAGGTGGTAACCGTGTGCTACTTTGGCCAGTCCGTTTTCCGGCTTGAATTAGGGTTGTGTTGTCTCCGGGCGTGGACCCTGGATCGACAGTCCTAAACAAGTGTGGGTCTTAGCGGGAAAAATACGAGGTTGCAGCTGGTTTGAAAGGTTTCAAGACTGAATACGAGGACTGCAGATTTTTCAGATGTTCCCGACAGGCCCAGATTCGATTTAGCCTCGAGGTTCCTGCAAGTTCGTCCCGGATAGAATCCATGCCCCAATATGTGTTCCTAAATTAACAACTGGCAGACAGGAGCTATCCTCGACGTTGGTTTTCTTTTCTGGGGCCATCAGCGGCACTCCAGTCTCTGTCACTGGGCCCTTGGCTCGACTTGGTCATCGAATTAGAAAATCTACCAACTGGAGTGCAATTCAACATCATTATAGACTAAATACATTTTTCAAGAGACTCAAAAGGAAGAAGGAGATAAAAGCGCCGGCGGAGGATCAATAGAAGAGTCTGTATGTTTCATCCCGGGGTAGCTCAAAAGAGTTGCCTGCATAGGCTTGACAAAATATAAGGTGGCACCACATCCATTATCTGCAATCCTGAGCAACGATATGCTTCATGGTTTTCGTGCTTCAATGGCAAGTACTGCTGGAAGCGTCGAAGTGTGTTATCAAGGCTGCTCCAATGGAAGTTCAGCTTTGTGCTCCGCACTGAGGGCAGAATCGGCTAAAGACAGCAGTCCCGCACTGGCCACAATACTTGGAAGCAGTTGCTGTGGCATTGGCTTCCTTAGGAGGTGTGCCAGCGAGGAACGGGCCCGCCATCTCAGGGGAGATAGGCTGCGGTGGGGCATTTGTGGGCTGAGACGCAGCGTAGGGCTGCTGGAAGGGCTGGGGTTGCTGAACAGGAGGAGAGTTGACGTATGTAACGGTGTGGTGACTGTAGCGCTTGCGCTTGACGCAGAAGATGATGAGTAGGATCCAGGCAGTGAGCTTGAGGACACCGCCAATCACGAACATGGCAACAGCGCCATAAAACTCGCCCATGTTTGTAGTGACACAGGAGTAGTCGCTATAGTAGGAGCTGTAGTAGGAGCTATAGGAGCAGTCATTATATGAGCTGGAGACCCATGCGCCCATGAGAGCACCACCGATGATGAAGCAAACGACGGCGCCAATGAAAACGCCGATGGGCCACCATTTGTTGAGCCGTGAGGGCCTCGGAGCTCCTGTGTCTTGTTGCATGGTTGATGGATATGGTTTCTCAGAACGAATGATTAAGTTGGTAGACGGAAAGAAGAGAATAAAGGAAGGACTAGAGTAATGTAACTAAACGGGGTCCAGGAGCTTTTAAGGCATCTGCGTCTGCGTAAGGGCCCATTCAGCCCCATCGCCGCTAGAATTCAGGCGCGGAATAACGTTCTGAGAATCTACCACCGTTAACGCCAAGTAGAGCATGGGGCTAGCCTGGTGTAGATCCCCCCTATTTTGGTGGTCCATCTCGTATCCAGGAAGACAACATGGCATGGTGCCGATCTCTTAAACCATCATTTTGCTCAGAAACTCTTCCCAGAACTCGTTAGAAAATTCCCAACGTATTTTCTATCAACCTACATGATCTGCAGAGTCACTTTATAAGAATTCCTAAATTTATGAAAGGACATATCCCCTAGGAATCTATGCTTCCCACGGAGCTAGGAAATGATCGCCAAGGATCGGCTTAATGCAGAGCCTCCATGGATTTATTGCTCAATCAGAAGAAGCTGCCGATCCATCATCGTATTCTGAAAAGTGGAGAAGTCCACACATTCGCCTCACAAAGACTCTGCCAAGTGGAGTGGATTCTCTTTCCGAATAGCACTCACGACAAACGGCCTTGAGGTCCCTGCGTCTTCCCGGGCCTAACCCACCTTCTTAACCTTGAATCATGAAGTCCGCAATCACGCGTTATCTAAATAGGGATGTGCGCGCCTTCCAGGTGCCCGGCAGCGTGGACAAGCCATTGGAACTGGAACCGACCTATCAGATCGAGCGTGATGGGGAGGTCCTGAGCCATACGACAGCCCTAGACCTCGGGCGGCAGCCTACACGACCTATAACAGCGTGATATGCATCAGCGAGGACGGGGAGGTAGATGGCAGTATATGGCCGTCGCGATATACACTGCAATAAACATGACCTCGTTATTGCTGTATCTAAGCTCTCCCTCTATTCTCATGATTGGAAGGTTTACTTGCTTATTTCCCTCCTAGTAGAACGTGAGTCACTTATTTCTTGGCCCTCGTATTTCGCAACGATCGATAGATTAGTCTGCCCCTTTCTTCCCGGCATATCTACTGTACCCTGGCCAGATTTTCTACAAACTAGCTAAATTACACTAGCTTACGCCACCGGTCCAATTTATAATTACTGTAATTATTACTGTCAGTAACAAGTGACCTCTCTTCACGCCATTATAGCAGTCATTTTATAGGGAAAAACTGGCAAAAACCTAGCAAAGCATGACCCTTTATTAGACGTGAAAACGGCGGGAAAACCCCCCGGAAAACCGGGGACGTCGAGGACTTATTGCAAGCGCATCTTTCCCGCTTCGTGGGTCGATATAATAAAGGACTCGATGCGATCGAAGTGATTTTTGAGGTTGCGAAAGGGCTGAGGCCCTATTTTCGGTGTAATTTCTACGTGTCAAATATAGTAACGTATTTCCCAAGCGAGCTGGCCACCCAACCAAAGAATGCTACCATTAGATTGCAAAAGTCAGCACCACAACGCCATATAATTAAAAATGACGCTATTCAGACCTCCCTAGACACCTATTTCTCTTATGCCAAGGCGTTTTACAAATACTGCATCGCTGTGGCCTCCTCTTATTGGCCGACCTGGGTCGGCAGGACTTCCTTGATGCTATCGAGAGTGCCACTGCTGGAACTAAAGAGCCCACTGGATATAGAGCAAAGACACGCGCTGGAATCCTATCAAAATGGTTCGGCCTGCTGATGCAAAATATTGAAGACCGTAAGTCATTCTTCGTGGAATTTGCATACTTTCCTATACTTACTCACCTGGGTAGTGGCATCTATACTGTCGCTTGAGAATGGAAACCAATCTCGAAGCCAAGGGCGCAATGAACTACGCTGCCTCTTTTATTTCTTGGTTCGCCGAGGAATATATGGCGATACCATCCCGTCATCCTACCAAAACAGGGCAGTTCTAAAATTCAAGGAGCCGGTTGGCATCTGTGGAATCATCACTCCCTGGAATCTCCCCGCGGCAATGATCACCCGTAAAGTGGCACCTGCTTTAGCGGCAGGATGTTCAGTTATTGTTAAACCACCAAGTGAGACTCCTTTTAGTCCTATAGCTTTGGGGTTCTTGGCTTTGGAAGCTGGTCTGCCACCGAATTGCGTGCATATTATCCCAACAAACGATAGCCAGGCATCGACGGAGCTTGCTACCAATCCGAAAGTGAAAAAGCTCAGCTTTATTGAGTCCACTGGGGTAGGAAATCTTTTGGCTAAAGCAGCCAGAAACACTATGAAAAGTGTCAGTATGGAAATATGCGGGAATGCTCCTTTTACCGTTTTTGAGGACGGTGATATTGATCAGGCTGTGGAAGCAGCGATGGTCTGCAAGTTCCGATCCAGCGGCCAAACTTGTGTTCTAATCAACCCACATCACCATACCTGGCAGCTGGAAACTCATCTATACATAGTGCTCAAATCGCCTTTTAGTTCACGAAAGTGTGAAGCATGAGTTTTTGCAAAAGCTGACAGGGAGAGTACGGCAGCTGGAACTTGGCCGAGGGCTGGATAAAGGAGTGAGACAGGGCCCGCTAGTGGATGAGTCCGCAGTTCGAAAGGTCAACCTACACATTCAAAATGATTTACGAAAAGGAGGAAATCTCTAAATTGGTGGTCAGGTGCCTATGGATCTGCCCGGATACTTCTACGAGCCAACAATTATCAGCGAGGCTACCATGGAGATGCAGGTAGCCCATGACAAAACTTTTGGGCCATTAGCTACAATCTTCCCTATCTGCACTGAGGCAGAATCTGTGCTACTTGCAAACGAAAGCTGAGTATGGATTGCCAGGCTACTCCTTTAGCAAATATATAAGCCGTATGACGCGTGTGGCTCGCAACCTGCAGTGTGGCATGGTATGGGTAAATATTGGGCTTAGAGCGCATCTGAGACACCATTTGGTGGTATAGGGGCAAGCGGCCTTGGAAGAGAAGGGAGCAAATATGGGTCGGCAAAATACCAAAACAACAAGTCTGTCACCATTGGAAATTTATCAGAGTAGTAGTGCTACAGCAGGCTACTGGCAAGACAATACTTCTTGACATCAGTCAATTCAGGTATCAAATTCGCAAGTTTGTCGTATTAGTTTTTCATGATCTCTTAGTTGGGTATGGCTAGGTTACGGCTGGAAGAATGAAATGACACTGCAGAACTTCATCTTCCTTAGACGATATTACCTCTTTACAAATTTACTTTTCTATTTAACTAAAATGACGATGCATCAAATTTGCAGCAGGTCATACAGGTCAATACAATAGGAACGACCCCCATTCGATGCTGATAGCATACAGTTGGACAAAATACCCCATATTCCCCAATACCACCTGGCGTTGGGGTAAAATCCACGCTCAACCAGAAATTGTGACAGATGTTGCTCGGAGACTGCATATATATACCTTGTGGATGGATGTGTCAATTCTTTCGCTTGATATCTTTCTGTCAACAAGGAAGCATTGGTTATCGGACAACCTACAATGGCAGCTGCAGATTTCGGCAAAGTTGGCTTCATCGGGCTTGGAGCCATGGGAAAGCCCATGGCCCAACAGCTAGCAACAAAGCTGCCAGAGCAATCGCGCATCTATGTTTTTGATGTAATTGAAGACGCTGTGCATGATTTTGCTGCTCAATTTCCTGGCAAAGTCTTTCCTGAAGGATCAGCCAAAGATGTCGCTATAAAATCGGTGAATCATTCGATTATATTATATTTTCACAAAGAAACATTTCGCTTATACCACATCTAGGACATCGTGATTTCAATGGTGCCTGAAGGAAACCATGTCAGGGAGGTATATCTTAATGATCAGACCGGGATTTGCACTTTCGATTTAGAGAAGCGAATCTTCATCGACTGCTCGACAATCGATATAGCAACTAGTCTGGAGGTAAAACAGCGAGTTACCGACCTACATCCCCAAGCCTCATTCTATGATGCACCAGTTAGCGGTGGGACTCTTGGTGCCCAGAAAGGCACTATTTCATTCTTTCTCGGATGCGAAAAGGATGACCCACATTTTCAATTTTTGTCGGAGCTTCTTAGCTTGATGGGCAAGAAGGCCATTGCCTGTGGAGGCCCATCTTTTGGACTAGCATCGAAGCTGTGCAATAATTACCTTTCCGGTTTAATCGCTATCGCCAGCTCTGAAGCTCTCAATATCGGTATCCGTGCGGGCTTAGACCCAAGAATTTTGTCAAGCGTTTTCGCGGCTGGAACAGCACAGAACAACATCTGCGATTCTTGGAATCCTTGTCCTGGTGTGGTAGCTGAAGCTCCATCAAGCAAGGACTATCAGGGCGGTTTTAAAGTTCAGTTGATGAAAAAGGACTTTTCTTTGGCAATGGATTTGGCTCATAGTGTCGGAGCTCGATTAGCTTTGGGGGAACGCGGACTGGAGACTTATGAAGGTGCTTCAGAAGACCCTAGATGCCGTGATCTCGACTCACGAGTTGTTTTTCGCTATCTTGGGGGCATCGAGAATTGGAGAAGGCGAGATTAGCACTAGAGTTTCGATACATACCATACACATTGCTGGGATGGTCACTCTTGTGAGTTTATTACTTCACACAGAAAGGCCTTCTTATTAGACATTCACTACTCCGTATGTACTGATTTGTTATATGAAGTCCCTCATCTTGAGTACTGTAGCTGCTTATACTAGTGAGAGGCAGTTACACAGGAAGGCTCGAAAACTACTACTAAAGATACGCAGAGATATAGATTGGTGTGTGAACTATCACCGCCTAGCAGTACATTTTACAGAGTAACCTTGTGTTCACGTCATATACATGAGCGAGAAAAGCGGTTTTCAATTGAATTTTGGATTCTTTTTTTTTTTGTATAAAGTATGGAAATGAAATACTAGTAGTTGCCCATCCATAAGGCTTCCAGTTGAGTGAAGCAAGCAGAGTCATTAGCAAAATCAGAATATGATCGTTGAAAAAGGTTCAATAGGACAGCCTCAGAGGCTTATATGAAATTGAACCCTCAGAACATCTGAAAATCGGCGAATAGCTTCGACCATCTTTTCTGGTGAGGCAGCAGCAAACGTCGCACGGAAAAACATACGGTTCTCCTGCTGGGCAGAATTTGCCTTAAACCAGCTGCCACGAGACAGAAGGACCTGGTTCTGGACGGCAGACAGGAAAATCTCTTCTTCAATAGAGTCATGGTCGCCTTTCAAGGCCATGCCAGGGTGCTTTCGCCATTCAATCTCGATCCAACACTAGATTTGCATCAGATATGATCGACTAGGAAAAGGTAGAATTATTGACTTACAAACATTCCGGCTGCAGGGACTTTCCAACGAGCAACCTCTTTCGGCAAGAATTTTTCAAAAGCATGAATCATTACATCCCTCCTTCTGCTGTACTCTATTCGGAGGTTGATCAGCCAATCAATATATCCGGCATGGCCCCAGTATTCGTCGAGGAGCTTGAACAGAGCGAGTTGGGAGATTCCGCTTGGGTGTTGCGAGGACACCTCAAAATTGCGAGCAAATCGATCCACGAGTTGTTGAGAAGCCACAATCCATCCGGTTCGTGCGCCAGGGGAAATGACTTTAGAGAACGATTCCATGCGGAGCACACGGCCGTCCGAATCTAGACTGAGGAATGATGGAACAAGAGACGCCAAAAATTCTCCTCGAGAAACTTCAGACGCCGGCTCAGTACCTCTTGAACAGTAGGCCTGCATTTGGAGGAAGTAGTAAGGCTCATCCTCCACGATAAAGAGGTCATGCTTTTGCGCCACTTTATAGATAGCCTCTCGTCGAGCCAGAGGCATAGTGGCGCCGGTGGGATTTTGCCCTGTTGGGATCAGATAGAGCAGAAACGGTTTGCGTGCACCACGGGTCTGATAATTCCAGTTGTTCAGACTATCATCTAGGGCCTCTGGCACCAAACCATAATCATCCATTTCCACACCGAGGACTCGGAGGCCAAGGGGCGTAGCTGTCTCAATGGCACTGGCGAATGTGTACTCCTCCGTGATGATGAAATCCCCCTTTTCGCAGAGGATGCGAAGTGTTGTGTCCCACGCATACGTGCTGCCCGCTGTTAGACAACATTGCCAGTCAGAGTAAGGAGGATCGTGAATAATCTGCTTAGATTAACTTGAGGAAATCAGAAAAATAACCAGAATAGGTTCATACCTCTGTATGCTCGGTGACAAAGCGCATTAGCTGCGCAGAACCAGTAGCCTGTCCATAGTTAAGCGCAATCTCGAGATCTAAGAGCGAGTTTTGGTTATTATTTGGGCCAAAAGAAAGGCTTCGAATAGGGTTATGAACCGTAAACACTTTTGCCCTCTCGAATATCCGATTTCCCCGCTCTCAGTACGCTATCCATGTTTTCCATGGACTTTCCCATATTCACATGCCGTTTGGAAAGGGCTTCACGACTGGGCACCTGAAGCTGTAGATTCTCAAATGGAAAATATTCAGGAGATGGAAGGCCGCCACATAACGAAATCAGATCTAATACAAAATGTCAGTTTGTCCTGATAGAGAAAAAGTTTCGCAAAGCGTTGTACCGGGATCCTTCAAGAACATCGCTGCTGCCTTCAAAGTGGACGGCTATTAAATCAACGAGAGTCAGTCTCACAGATCAGGTTCAAGCGACACTATTGCGCTCTGTCTACATATCGTTCATACCTGGCGACGCTTGGCCTCGGTTGATAGGCGGTCTAGTCTTCATGGTCAGCATGAGGCGGGTAGAACAGAAATAACAGAGCTGACGATTGAAACATTTAGCACGGGGCTTATGGTAGCAGTTCTGTAAAATGATGCATCTTAATTAGCTCATTCTGTCCGGATTCCATTTCGTTGAAAAATGATGTTTATCATACCGGACTTTTGAACATATCACTGCTGCAAGCAGGCGCGACACTTGTAGGCATAACGTCACTTCTTGCCCGCAGGTCGAAAGCATTTTCTACAGTCAACTTGAATGCGTCATCAGCACCTCTAATGCGGTCATCAAAAGTAGGGACCGGAGACATGGTCGCAAAAACGCCTGAAAAATCACCGATCCTGTGTGCGGGTAAAAAGTTGGAATCAAATCCGACTAGACTTAACACAGACAAAGAAGAGGGATCCTCCAAAAGTTACGAACGGGACCATAAAATCGAAACCAACTAAGGATGATTTTTTATACCCCGTGTGAATGGTGGTCTCGCTAATACTCTGGGCCCGTCCTATCGCCAAGAAAAACTATGCTCAATTTACCCCAACGCTAGGCCCTAAAATGCCTCACCAATGAACAAGCCACCGAATTTGAGGTGCGAAACGGAAAGAGGAAGTATGGATGCGGATAGCCATTGCGGACTTAAAAATCTCCTTTAGCCTCTTGCAGACTTGCAACGTTCCTCGAGGTCGTTCGGAGTGCTTGTTTCACTCCGCAGCCTCAACACCCCGAATTTCCGTTTACATAAATTCATGTGATCTCACCCAATAACACATACGCATTTTGCATACATAGATTGGTAGTTCACCTACAGGGCGGATCGAAATTAGTTTCACCACTTTATTCTCTTTGATTCTTTCCAGAATCCTATTTCGAAACACGCCAGTCAGTATTTGGTTTAGCTTGTTTCGGAGTATGGCAATATACTGTAAAGGAAGTATCACACGATGACCATGGAGTAAATTGGCTGAATTACCCATACAGCCGATGCTTACAGTTCAGCGCCCTCACTTGGTCTCTTTAGGCACTTCCATGTCATTTTATGGGAGGAAAGATGCAAATGGAACTATTACTTAACTGGCCAATAAAAACGTTAGGTGACATGTTCCTTTTCCTCCTCTTTGGGAATCCTGACCCAAATGATAGTAATCAAAGCCGCCAACATTGCCCCTGAGAAACCAAACCACCAGATGGCACGCAGGCCGATGAGTCCAATATCCCCGCTTGGTCCTATGTCAACCTTCGTACCGATTGCCTCCGCGATGCTAGTCATGATGGCCGCTGAGAGGTTTTGCATCATCATTAGCAAACTCCCAGCGCTTCCTTGATATGATCTTGCGACGTTGCTCGTAATGAAAATTGAAGCAGCTGCAAATGCTAGATCGGGCCCGAAAGTCACCAACGCGACTCCTGGCATAGAGAGAGCCCAGTATGAGGTCCCTGGGGTTTGGGGCAGAAAGAATACAGGTCCGAGGGCATAAGCGAGCATTGACGCCACATAGATATAGTGTCCTGGAAAAATATGCAATGTCTGGCTAACTACCCAAGTAGCAAGAGCCCCGACAATGGCGTTAGGAAGCAGGTACAGTGCTACGGTCATAGGGCTGACGTGCTGGATTCGAAGCCAAAATTGCACGGCGTAGAATTGCCATGAGCCACTGTAACAGCCAAACCCCAGGAAATAGGCTAGCATCAGAGGCGTGAAACCTTTCGTCCTCCAAAGTCTTGTCGGAATCAGCGGCCGTCGGACTCTGCTTTCTATTATGAAGAATGTTACCAGCAGGACAATTCCCACTATCACCAGGGCGTATGTATATGGCGCCCATTTGGTGACTGATCCTTGAGTGAGACCAAACAGAAGCAGCACGCAACTGGTGATCGCTACACTGGCGCCCAAGTAATCAAATTGGCGGAGGCTTGGAGCTTCAATGCCAGCTGCGTCGGCGACAGGTCGAAGCGGAGGTACAGTAACAAAGGCGATAGCGCAACAAACAGCACAAATGACGGCATTTGAGCCAAATATCCATCTGAGGTCATTCGTTGCGCCCCCTTGTATGGCTCCTAGCCAATACCCAAAGGGAGAGGTAGCTGCCATCGCAGAAAACACCCGATTTTTGCGAAGCCCTGGCTTGTAAATTCTTCCCATAAGACTCATCGACCCGGACACGAGAACCCCAATGGCCAGACCTTGCATAGCGCGCACAATAAAGAATAGCACCATTCGTGAAGGGGTAATGGAAAAGAAACCAATTATGTGCCAGACCATCAGCCACGCGAAGGCGCCAACCATGAGAGGCTTGGGTGGCGCGAGGTCCATGATAGATCCTGAAACGACCAGTGCAAGACCGTTGGCGGTGGTGTATGACCCTATTAGCCAGGGAAGCTGGCTATTGTTAATGGCCAAGGCTTTTCTAAATTCGGCCTGGTTGACAGTCACATCTCCTAGAAGGAAAGCATAGATCATCAAGCTGGCTGAACAAATACCAACAAAGGCCAATTCAAAGGTAATGTTCCGCAGTTCGTACGGAACACCTTGGGACCTCTGTTGATCTACAGCACCTGATGCTTCAGACGCCGAGACCTCTAGGACTGGCTGATTTGGCATGGAAGTCAGATCTACTCTCGGGAATCCAGCTAAGTTATCTTGGGCTTGCTGCATGTCTCTGACGAAATCCCCGTGGATACTCTGCTGAGCTCCAGACAGCTTCGGAGACAAATCTTGCAAGGCGTGGCTAGCTTGGCAATAAGATGAGACAGGCTTTGTACCGAACGGGCAATGCACCTCTGTTTTGTCGTCATGCGATCGTGGCCAGACTTGTGGGCTTTGTATTCTCGCAGTGGTGGTATCATGGTTGTCCCAGAGCATTTTGAAAACCTCCCAGAACCTGACAAAAGAGATATTAAGAATATCCGGTAGTAAAACTTTATCAACGTTGGTTGGGACCAAAGTACCAGATGGCATTTAGACAGCGACGAGAAAGCAGGGACATTTCTCTATGTGATCACAATATCCGCAAGTAGATTCGGGATTCGAGATTTGGAGATGAGATTGGGGTATGTTGGGGTTCGTGGCGAGGTCTACTGGGGGCGGGGTGAGATAGATCGGAGTCGCTCCGACTCGTAGGGTGACGGGGTAAATAAGTGTTTATTGAACTCGGGGTGAATTGTATATGCCACCCCTAACGTCATTGACAATATTTAGGTCGATGTCAAGGCTGAGGGTACGGATAAAAGCTCTTCTGTTGCACTGAAACGGCTATCAGTCACCGAAAGAGGACAGAATTCCAAGTACGTTCCAAAATGTCGACGACTACTACTCTAGTCCAGCGCAAGCCCACTCCTACCCAGACTCAGAATGATGAGTCCAAGAGTGCCATCGAGCGACTATCGCATGGCGTGACTATTTCCGGGATCCCATCGTTTACTTCAATCGAAAAGAAGCGCCACTGGATGCTGGAGCATATGGCTGGTGCATTCCGAGTATTCGCCAGAAAAGGGTTCGCGGAAGGCCTTGCAGGACACATCAGCTTGAGAGATCCTGGTAAGCTCAAGGCAGGCCCTGATGGACTCGGCAATTGCTAATCGAATTTATTCAGAGCATGCGGACTGCTTTTGGACAAACCCGTAAGTAAGGTACAGTGTTACCTATCAGCTGCTTGCTAACAGAATATTGTGAAGATACGGGAAACACTTTGGCCTTATTAAAGTTTCAGACCTGATTCTTTTGAATGAAAATGGCGAGCCCGTCGGAGGCGCTACCCACCTTCCAGCCAACGCAGCAGGATTTGAGATTCATTCCCACTTGCATAAAAGGTACCCGCACGTCAATGCAGCATGCCACACGCACTCAAAGTACGGTAAGGCATATTCTGCATTCGGCAGGAGGTTGGAGATGATTAATCAGGATGCCTGTGATTTTTATGGGGATGCACATGCCGTCTATCCCGAATTTGGAGGTGTCGTGCTATCGGACGAGGAGGGTGCAAAACTAGCTGAATGCCTGGGGCCAAAGGGCAAGGCTCTCATCCTCCAGAATCACGGACTACTCACCGTTGGTCAAACCGTTGATGAAGCGACGTATCTTTATACGTTGATGGAACGATCCTGTGAAGTGCAACTCCTTGTAGATGCTGCAGCGGAGGGAAGTGGAAAGGCCAAGAAGTTCGCGAGTGACCAGGCTTGCGAGTTCACCTTCAAGGCCGTTAGCGATCCCGTGAGTCTAAAAATTCTCTGGTACAATGATCCCCGTTGCTAATGAAAAGTAGGAGGCCCTTTATTGCGCGTTCCAGCCCGATTACGAAATGGAGAAGGCACTAACCAACGGCGATTTCCTGGACTAGATGCTTAAATAGCATGGCTATGGTAGTTAGGTCTAGGGATGTCCTCAGGGCTTTGAGCAGAATTCTTGCTTTGGTCGCTCGTTTTAGTCCCAATTTGCAATTCTTATTCACAATATTGATCTAAGTTTCTATATTAGTAGACATAGATCAATCATGAAACGTCCGTAAGATACATTGGACGGAAATGCCGATTTTTTACATGAATGTACGGTAACATGAGTCTCCCCATCATGGAATTGGTTGACACATTTGTCCTATGTTGGACTGAGTTGCTTGAAGCTTGCGGGATCCCTTCAAGGCAGGCAACCTTAATTAACTTAAAAAACATTTCCTGGTTAATTGGATATTACTGAGAATATCTGTTCATTCTCGGAAAATTTGTGTGTAATATCCATTGTCTAGAGTGCCTGGTACTAAGTTGGTGACCATCTATTGTTCTGGGATAGCTTCTTGGTATCCGAACAGGCTTGTATTTCGAATCTTAGAGAACACTCAGTATAACCAGGTACAAGAGTGCCAACTGGATACCTACAGATGTATAAATGTGTAAAAAGCTTCCTTGAAGTTCTGGGGACTTTGAAGTAGAGTTACAAACTTATGACCAAATAACTTACTGTATACAATTCATGTTCTGGATCGTTGAATCATTAGTGAAGGGGTCTGCTATTCAGCTTAGCGAGATATTCGTCAATAGAAACAAAGAGGTAGAATAGAAAGACAATGTACTTCGAGTATCAAGTAGATCTATCTAAAAACTAGCAGCAGCGACCACCATCAACCTTCAAATCTATTCCTGTAATAAAGGAGGCATCGTCGCTCGACAGGAAGGCGCAGGCATTAGCGATATCGGCAGGCTGACAGAATCGGCCTAGAGGAATGCTCGACAGCCATGCTTCGCGGTTCTCCGGAGTGTCCTCTTTACCAAGGAAAAGATGGGTCCTGATTCGCCAAATGTCAGTTGTTACTGTAAGAAGTGCAGGGTTGGCTGGGAACTGTCATACATCCCGGTGCCTCCAACAACGGGGCAAACCGAGTTGAAACGAATGTTGTGGGGAGCAAACTCGACAGCAAGAGATTTTGTTGCCTGGCACGCATTAGGTACGTATTTTCTCAAGTGGCAGGGCAAACTTACCACTACTGCAGCTGCCTTAGACGCACTATACCAAGTCAATCCTGGTCGAGGTCGATCTGCAGCAGTAGATGCAATCTGAATGAAACTGCCCCCGCGGTTCTGCACTAGCATGGTTGGAATAATAACGCTTGTCGACAGAAGAATTGCCCTCGCGTTAACATCCATGCAGAGATCGAAGTCTGATTCTTGGACTTGCAGGGTAGGCTGAGAGGGAAAGTGGCATGAGAAAGACATCCAACGCAAAGAACGGGGCTATTCGCTGAGATCTATCATTACCTTGTTTTTATAACAGGCGCCCGCGTTGTTCACCACTACGTCAACACCTCCATAGGTTGAGATCGCCTTCTTCAAAATAGCCTCCCAGCCGAGACGCTTAGTGACATCGGCCTGGACCCATGAACATCCAAGTCGCTCGGCGACCTTCTTTGCATTTTCTCCAGACAAGTCAGCAATAACAACACGAGCTCCCTCTGCCACGAATCTGGTGGCAATTCCGGCGCCGTAACCCGATCCGGAGCCGGTGATGATTGTGACTTTCCCGCTCAGTTTAGTGGACATTGCTGAAGACTTGAATTTTTTTTGAAAGATGTAATGCCATATTTTCTGAGCCAGCCGAAAGTTAGTATCTTATATATTATTTGGAGTTGACTTTCTTTTCCATTCGTGAAGAATGACGAGTTGCCGCATTTCAGTTGGGGCATATTGCCGAGAAAAGTCATGTGGGGGAACGACAACTTCGGAGCGCGGGGAAGATTCCCATTCAACTCCAGATTCTCATATCACCCCACCGTTACTGCCCAGTCTAGGGGCCTGTCTATCTCACAATGCGAGCACGCGTGACGGTGCCCCCATGCAGGTATTGCAGCAGGAAATTCTCTCGCACGGAACATTTACTGCGACACGAACGGACCCGTATGAATCCCTCTCAATTTTTTTTACCTTTTCTGGCGGCAATTGAACATGTATTCACCTATTATCAGATACACGCGAAAGACCATTTCGTTGCTCGTGTGGGCAATGCTTCACAAGAGGGTGGGTTCCCCTTGGTTGCGCCTGACAAGCCTTCCTGACAACCTCCAGTGACTTGCTATTACGACATACCAGAAAGGCAGATGAAGCAGAACACCATGTCCCCTTATCTCCCCATGTAGCGAACTCAAATGTCCAAGAGGTTCAGTCCGACAATTCTCTTACCTACCTCCCGTCCGGAATGCCGACCGATCAACAAGATGATCCGTCGCAGCAGCGCCCTGCGTCCCAGAACGCGGAGCAATCTGTAGTACAGCTTGCTCTGTCAACCCCAACGATCGGCCTAGGGGCGGAGAATCACAATGATAACCTGAACCAAATACAATCAGGCCCACTTGATGTTACTCAGCCTCTGCTACACCCTGAGATTCCGGACGACCTTGATATCCTTTGGGGAGACTCAGAGCTGGGCCTGGACCCAAGTGCACCGGCCTTTCCGTTATGTTCTTTCTCATTCGCACAATATGGCATAAGCGATCCTTTCCAGTCCCTCCAGGCAGAACCCTTTCCCAGCTTTAATTCAACTGAGGGTCAACAAGGCCCTGGCCTCAACGAAGACCCACTTTCTCGCAATATGTCCAGACTTCCCTCACTTCAACCGGAAGATCAACCGCAACCTACACGATTCGGTCAAGGATCAAAGCTGTCCATGCCACAGATAAACCGCAGCGACTATGCTATGATTTCCAGCATGATACATGATCAAAAACATGTCTTACCGCCAACATTCCATTGGCCTTCCAGACACGCCCTGAGTCGCTATCTTGAGGGCTTCTTCAATGGGTTTTACGACCATCTGCCCTTTTTACATTTGCCTACTTTCGCATTGTCATCTTCGCCACTCATGCTAATATTGGCCATCTTTGCGATGGGCGCTCAATTTCGTTTTGAACGGGAAGAGGCAATCGAACTCTGGAAGGGCGCCAAGGCCTTGATCGATGACCACCTCCGACGTCGCGCAAACGATGTCAACGCGGCTGTCCACACACCTTTACAGCCATCCTTCTCACCTTCCCGGGCGGGCCAATCCGATACTATTGACAAATCGAATGTTGAACCCCTGATGAGCCTTGAAACAATACAGGCAATCATTATTGTCTTGTCATTTGCCACGTGGAACCACAAATCGCTGCTACGAGATGCGTATACCCTGGCAACAGAACTTTCATTTTCTCTACGACAAGGAGATTTTCTATCTGAAACGAGACAACCCAAAGAATTGACCTGGGAAAAATGGATCGAGAGGGAAGGGAGGCGACGCACAATACTGGTGTCTTACTTTCTACTCAACCTACATTCTGTCACGTATAATATTCCTCCGCGATTGGTGACGAGTGAGATCCGGTCTCTCAATATGCCATTCCCGGAGGAGCAGTGGCGAGCGGGGAGCAGTGAAGAGTGGAGACTCATGCATCGCGATAACCCGTGGCCAGAAATCTCTATCGGCAGCTGCTTCGATGCATTATTCTCCTCGAATGAATATTCCCCACCCGAAGTTTACCACACCAGTTGGTCTTCATTTGGGAACATCACTCTGGTACATAGCCTTTTTCAACAAGTCTACATCTCTAGGGAGCTTTGCCCTTCTTTTCTCACCCAAGGAAATGGCCACGGCCCTGCAGCCCACGCCCTATCTCATACCGCCATATCTGTTCTCGAAACCGCGTTACGGAGATGGCAATTGACCTGGGAATCTTCGAAAGAATCATCAGTCCATTCTTCTTCACTTAATGGCCCCCTAGCCTTCAATTCCACGGCGATCTTTCGCATTGCATATATTCGATTGCACTTCAACATCGGTCCGTTCCGTCAGTTGCAAACCCATGATGCGACGGCGATTGCTGAGGCCTTTCGGATGGCTCCTCACCCGACCCGATCGCCGGAAGTCAATAGGGCAGTACTGCAGAGCGTCCATTCGCTCAGTATACTGATCCGTGAAGGAATTGAGTTTGTCTCGAGGACCCAAACACTAACCTGGTCCATCGTCCATAGCCTCTGCAATCTTGAATGCGCCATCTTCCTAAGTAAATGGATAGAGACTATCCAGGGCGCGCAAGATCTCCATTCGGAGGAAAGGCGACTGATGAGCACTGTTGAAAGTATCATTGCTGAAACAAAGCTCATTCATTCCGTACGCAACGCTCCTAATGAGACCATGCGTAGAAAACAATTATCAGTGGCGGTCATTCAATTGCTGGTCGAGACGCTCAAAGGAACTCACGTTTTTGAGCTGGCTGATACCTTTTATACAAGTCTGAAGCTTTACGCCAATATGATTAATTCAAGTTAAGGCGAACTGGCACTAATGTAAAGAAATTCCCAGGCAGACTAGCCAATGGTATTCCATTGACGTGCCATCTTCCAAATTCGTGTCCCGTTGTTGCCAAGAATGCCAATGATAGTGGAGCACTTTAAGTGTCGGGGTAGATTCATGATTCATCCCCAATGCTCCACTTAGCCCTCATTGGCCGCCAAGTTTCATAAGGCGTAGGGCGTGCATATGAAGTACATCTTCCCACCGAGACTCATACCTTGAGTCTATCCCCGTTATCGCTTCTTCAAACCCATTTTCTTCAATGGAAAATATGGGCACCTTGCCTCACATTGTGTGCCTCGAAGAGTGCCACTGTCCCATCCCGAAGTTTCCTTTTCCACATACATATCGTGGCTATACCTCGTCAACCAGAGAGGACGTTGCAACCCGACTCCAAAATGCCGACATTGCGATTACGACCATTATTTTAATTACATGCGAGGTGCTGGACCAGTGTCCCCGTTTGAAATGCGTCTACGCGATGGCGACCGGGACTGAATGGGTGGATCTTGAGGGATTTCGCAAACGCGGCGTCACGGTCGTCAGGGCACCCCAGTCCAACGTGGATGCCGTGAGCGAGCATGCAATCGCGTTATATTTCGCATCGCGACGAAAAATCGTTGAAATGCACAACCGATGCATGAGCACAGACGAATACGCGGAGCAGGGGACGTTGACGCATCATTTTCCTGCTCCGCCGCCTTCGTGTTCGTCCGAGACCCTGGCGATCATCGGCTACGGATTTCTCGGGAAAAAAGTCGAGAAATTAGCCAGGGCGCTCGGCATGACGGTCGTGATCGCAGATCGCAAAGGCTCCCAAGATTTAAGAGAAGGGCGCGTGGATTTTGAGACCGCTCTGAAGCGGGCTTCAGTGGCTATCGTGACTATTGCGAAAACTCGCGACACGATTGATCTTATTGACGAGAAAGAGTTGCGGATGATGCGGAGCGATGCCATCTTGATCAATGTATCTCGAGGCGGCATTATAAATGAGAAGGCACTGATTTCTGCTCTTCGTCAAGGCGAGATTGGAGGCGCTGCCACGGATGTTTTTGGAAAGGAACCGCCGGCACGAAACACATCGCTATTGTGTGAGGATATCCCGAACCTCACCGTTTCGCCACACCTGGCATGGTTCTCTGGCCAAACTATTCAGAATCTACAAGATCTTCTCGTTAGAGGTTTAGATGCCTATGTTAGAGGATCCCCCATAAATACTGTCTAGTCATAAAAGTGCGATGCTATGGTCATTGGCATATAATGAAGACTTGCGAAAATTTAAAGTTCCCTTGTTAAATTGAGCATTAACCATTCCATTCGCAAATTCTACGTTTTGATGAATGACGAGAAAACTCGCGTTGAGAACATGCGTAACCATTAGAGATATTTTGATTCGAGCATTTCCGGTCAAAAGATATTCTGAAATCGAGTATGAAATGGGGGTACGGTCGGGGTAATTTGGTAATTTGAGACCCACCACCAAAGATGACCTAGAAGTACGTTAAATCAGACCCACGCCCACGCCCGAAGTGCTTGAAAAGCCGCCAGTAGCAGTATCTACATAAATTCTCTCTCATGACTAAAACATTACACTGGACAACTTTAGAGAACACCCTCCATGGAAATATTTGTGAAAACATTACAATAACAGAAACCCACTCCAAGGTACGACCTGCTATCTTGTATCTCCGTCTATTCTCTCTTATACTCTCCATTTTCAATCATTTCCTTGATGGTGCGCTCCGTAACTTTCGTCGCTTCAATCCCAGCCGGTACTCCACAGTAGATAGTGGCCTGAAGAACAGCTTCACTGATCTCCTTTTCCGTCAACCCATTGTTAATTGCGCCCCTTGTGTGGACTGCAAGTTCCGGCCACGCCTTCAAAGCAATCAACATACCAATATCTATCCTTTCAGTCAGCCAACCTCGTGGTGGAAACAAGAAAGATGATCATCATTCATATGACTTACTCAGAAGACTTCGCTGGGATCGTTCTAAGCCGGGTCTTGTCCACACATGACCCCAACACCACTCTGTTACGAGCTGCTGACCAGGCTTTGCGAAGTCACTGGAGCCATTCGAGAGAGATCTATCGACATAGGAATTTCCAACGACCTCTCGGCGGACTTTAAGCCCTTCTTCGAATAGAACCTCGTGAAGTTTCTGCAACGGGGCGTCTGTGCTCATGGTGATGTGATAGCCAGGAGTTCAGTTGAAAGTTAAATAGGGATATTACGTTGTACCGGGCAAAGGCAAGGTTATAAATTAATAGCAGCATCGGAAAAAGGCACATTGCGTGGCTCACTTCCCCAGTAAGTCTAATCTTCCAATTTACTCCAACCCCAAAGTGCCAAAGTGGATCAAAAGCCAACCGTTGGGGGAAGGTTTGGGGGACCTGGAATTTGAGGAAGGCAGCCGTGGAATATCGTTACCCCTTCCATGGATTTTGCACGGGAAAAAGTCGATCTACGTGTATGAACAGAATTTGTACTCAGGGTTCGATGTTGGCTAACTATGGGACAGTATCTCTGTAACCTGTTGGCCTCACTCCGCATGTCATTCGGTGCCCAAACTGCTACTCAAGGCAGATGCGCATATGGATCGAGTTGGGGTATGGTGGGCAGGTTGGACGAGGAGTAGCCCGGAAGGGGTTGTGCGGGCATATCTGAAGGATTGAGTAGATAGTTCGCGTCTTGGTCTTGCTAAGGTTGGGCCACATTAGGGTTAGGCAAGAGAGTGGAAAAGTATGCCTGGTCGCTCTTATTGATCTTGGCCGTGACCTAGCTGAACAAAGACGAAGCGGAGCTCTAAAGATCCTTTAAGGCCTCTTTGTATTCACCTCGAGGCATTTGGTCCTAGGTGGTCGCTATTTCTAAGCCATCTTTTAATGTACGGTTTTCACCCTTCAACTAGCGACACTCGGACGTAAGCTAGCGGACTTTCGCGGACAACTAGGCTTTTTCCGCGACAACTGCTGATGGCCCTCCTCTAGGCGAGCGGCGCGCTGCTGATCGTCATCTTCCGCTGCTTTAAGTAACTTGATGTAGTCAACATGATCGGCCGGGTGAATGGCATGTGCCTTCTTTGTATTGAATGTATATGTGAGCCAACCACCAACTCAGGAAGGACGATTTGACTGGCTTATTAAGGTCTGTCAGAACTAGACTTCCCGTGGGACAGGGTTGGATCGCACGGCGCCAGTCGCCGGCAGGTTTAGCACGGCGCGTTTGGCAGATGCTTCGGCTTCTGGCTTTCGAGCCCTTGTGGGTGCTTGCGTGGCAGGATTGCGCGAGGCGGTTGGCATTTTGGGCATATTGGCCGATGACTTGACGAATGTCGCAAAAGAAACAAGAGAAATGCACCACACAGAAGAGAAAGAAAAAAGGTTGGGGCCACATCAGCTGGGGCGGGTAAAAGAAGACTTAAATCCAGTGGCAGCGTGAAAATAACTAAATTGGTTTACGCAGTCTAATATAAAGACTTGAAACAAGTAAATTAAGAATGCTTTGCTGAAGTGCAAACTCAACAACGGTTTTGTCAAATCGCTTTGCGATGAAGGAAAATATTGTATATATACACTGTCAACATATATCTTCACTTTCAAAATAGACAAAAGAAAGGCACATTGGTTGCTTAGTGCTCGGAAACGAAGATACCGGCCATACCCATGCCCTATTTGAGTGATTAGTATATCCTAAAGGCAGATTCACAAGAAGGTAGAGCAACTCACAGTTCCAACACACATGGAGGTCACGGCGACGCGCTTGTCCTGACGGCGCAGCTCGGAAAGAGCAGTAACGACCTGGCGGGCACCGGTAGCACCGAGGGGGTGGCCGAAGGCAATGGCACCACCACGGGGGTTAACCTTGGACTCATCCAAGCCGAGCTTGCTGACACAGTAGACACCCTATAGTAAACCAGAATTAGCCACGCACAGCGATAACCAATCACAAAAAACAAGGCCAACATACCATGGAAGCAAAAGCCTCGTTAATCTCAAAGATATCAACATCATCCTTGCCCAAGTTGAACTTGCCCAAAATCTTAGGAATAGCAAGCGAAGGCCCAATACCCATGATCCGCGGCTCAAGACCAGAAACAGTCGCACCACAGAACTTAGCAACAATAGGCTGTCCAAGCTCCAGCGCACGCGACCGCTTCATAAGCACCAATGCAGCAGCACCGTCAGTAATCTGACTAGCATTACCACCGGTAGTAGCACTAGGCGTCCACTGCGGGAACGCAGCGCGAACCTTGCCCAGCGACTCAGCGGTGGTACCATAACGAATGCCATCATCACGATCAACAATAATATCCTTAACCTCGCCAGTCTTAGGATCCTTAATCTGAGTCTTGACAGGCACGATCTCATCATCGAGCCAGCCGGCCTTCTGCGCCCGCTCGGCCTTCTGGAAACTCTTCGCGGCGAAGGCGTCGTGCTGCGCGCGGTTGATGTTGAATTGAGATGCTACGTTCTCGGATGTTTGGCCCATGGGCTGAGAGTTCTGACTGGCGATTGGGTGCGCCGTGATACGGGCGGACATCTCTGGTGCGCCGCCGTCTTGGTTATTGCTCATGCTTTCGGCGCCGACGGCTACGCCGACGTCGATTGATCCTGCGGTAATTTGGTTCGCGATGTTTTGGATGGCCAACAGGCCGGATGAGCAGAACCGGTTCGCGATTGAAGCCGCTGCTGTTACCGGGAAACCGGCTGCTAGGACTGCTGAGCGGGCGACGTAGGCTGAGCCTGGGCAGAGGACGTTGCCGACACAGACATCTTCCACGAGGCTGGGGTCCAGCTTGGAGTTTTCGCGGACGCTCTGGGGGTTTTGTTAGATTTTGGGTATTTATATGCGGTTCATTGGGGTTAATGTACCGTGAGGAGGGAGACTAGGAGGTCATCCACGGTGGTATCTTTCAATCCACCCTTGCGGGCCTTGGTGAGAGGTGTACGGGCGAGGTAGGTGATGACCTGTGGTTCAATTGATTAATTGATGGATTTGTATTTGTTTCGTGGTTGATAGCATACAATATCATCGGGGTTCTTGGCCAGGAGCTTCTGGCGGGCAGAACCAGGAGCAGCCAGCTGGTTTGCGACAGAGCTCAAACGCTGTTGTGGTGAAGACATCTTGTATAGTTGTCAATAGGGGAAGTGAAGAGAAAATAAAAGACCGAATGCGCGACGATCATCATTTTAACCCGAGCTCAGATGAACCGCGGCTAGATCGTGACCGAGCCGAAAGGTGGGACAGGAACAACATTCGCTCCGAGGCCGGGATGGAGCCGATGGAACTGCCGGATTAACTCGGTCCGTGGTGTGTACCATACCGTATTGCTGTGTTCCTCGGTCGGCTTTCTGGGGTTGTGGTTGGTGGGTAGATTGTATCTGACATGTTTCAAGAACCCACTATCCCCTGCTGATCGCGTAATATAGCATGGATAGTGTGAGAGGGAAGTGTGACAGAGTGTTCTTTTGAATCGCATCTATGAAATATCGTACATGTCAATTTGACTAAAAGCGCAATAACTAGAATACCGGGGAGCTTACCCCAGAAACCAAGAAACAGCAAAACCGGGGAAGCCGCTGGGAAAGCCGAGAGATTTGAATACGGGGGATTTCCGTATCTAACGGGGTCTGACTGCCGTTCTGCCCACTGTCAGGTAAAAGTCTGTACGGCGCAGGCCTAGCGTCGTCACCAACGGCAGATCGAGTCAGACGAGCTTCCGTAGAGCAATCCCGAGGACTCTCCCAGCTGGTTATATCTGTCGCTCCAGCTTCCCAGCAATTTCGCAAACCCCAATCTTTCTATATGTGGGTTTGCGACACTCATTCTTTCCAGCGGACCTTGAACCATCGTTAATTGAGCCCCGCGAGACAACCGTGAAGAACAACTTGCGCCTGCCTCACTATCGCGATGGACGTGCTCTCTGAAATCGGCATGCCCACTGTTGCCTTGGCATCTGCCTTGTCCGTAGCTGCTGGTGCGTACCTCAATGCGAAACTCGCCATATCGACCGATCTGTCCCAAATTTCTGGCGATAAGGCGTTTGGGAAGCGCCTTGCGGAGCGCATTGCCAAGCTCGATGGCGCAACGACCATATACAAGATTATGGAGCGGGTGGTGGATGTTGAAGGCAAGGGTGCTTTGGATGCGCTCTGGTTTGAACATCAGACTTGGTCATACAGTCAATTGAAGGATTGTGAGTACTTTATGTCTGCCCACGAGTCGGAGTTTCATGGTTGCTAATATGGAGATTGCAGTGGTTGATAGAATGGCCGCTCTGTTGAAGACCCGTGGTATCAATCCCGGCGATACAGTTGGTGTCTTCACGACCAATTCACCGGAGATGGTCATCACCCTGTATGCGTTGTCAAAATTGGGTGCAGTATCAGCAATGATCAACACCAACCTCCGAGGTAACATACACCTCTCTACATCTGCATCTGAAAAGATCACGACACTAACCCACCAACCGAATCCAGACGACACATTCACCCACTGCCTCAACGTTTCAGGCTCCAAATCAATCATCTCAACTGCTGACTTATCGCAACACGTCCTCGTCGACATCCCCCACCTCACGATAAACTTAAACTCCTTCCCAGACGCCAAGACAAGTCCAGTAGAACTGATAACCCCCTCAACCCTCCAATCCCACTCCCCAACAGGCCTAAGCGCAGCAAAGCGTACACCCAAGGACCTAGCCGTCCTAATCTACACCTCAGGAACAACAGGAAAACCCAAAGCCTGCGCAATCCACAACATGCTCACGATGGTAACCTCAACGCCCCTCTCACGGGATGCAAACAACCCAACAAAATACTACCCTTTACGCGTCTACTCCTCTCTTCCCCTCTTCCACGGCACAGCCTTCTTCACGGGGATCTGCGGCGCAGTCGGGAACGCAGGAACACTCTGTCTCCGACGGAAATTCTCTGCGTCCCAGTTCTGGAAGGATGTGCATGATTCGCGCGCTACGCGTATCCTCTACATCGGCGAATTGTGTCGCTATCTACTCGCTACCCCGGCCTCACCGTATGACCAGGACCACAACTGCATCGTTGCAGCGGGCAACGGGCTCCGCGGTGAGATCTGGGAGAAATTCCGGGAGCGGTTTAACGTCCCTGAGATCCGGGAGTTTTATCGGAGTACCGAGGGTGTGGCGAAATTCGATAACCATGGTGTTGGCGCGTGGGGAGCGGGCAAGGTTGGCTTTTCGGGGCCTATTCGGAGGTATTTGGAGGATGATACTTTTATTGTAAAGTATGATACGGATAAGGAAGTTCCGTATCGGGATCCGACTACTGGGTTCTGTGTCAGGGCTGGGCTGGGCCAGGAGGGTGAGGCTATTGGGCGGGTTAGGGATCGGGGATTGTTGATTGAGTATCTTGGGAATGAGGCTGCTACTGAGGAGAAGCTTCTCCGGGATGTTTTTCAGAAGGGGGATCTGTTTCAGCGGACTGGGGATTTGGTTGTTCAGGACTCAGATGGTTGGGTGAGGTTCCAGGATCGGGTTGGGGATACTTTCCGGTGGAAGGGGGAAAATGTTAGCGCTGGCGAGATTCGGGATCATATTTGTCGTATTGGGGGGGTTCATGATGCTGTTGTTTATGGTGTTAAGTTGGCTGGGTATGTTTTGTTCACTGGTGTTTTGTTGATGGGGTTCCGTGCTGATCTGGTTTCTGTTTAGGTATGATGGCCAGGCTGGTGCTGCTGGTATCACACTTGAATCGCCAGCTGCTGAGGTTGAGTTGATGTCCAACTTGTATGCCGAGCTGAAGAAGAAGGGTGTTCCTTCTTACGCTCTTCCTCGACTTGTTCGCCTTACTGAGAAGTAAGTATTGTCATCGGTGCTGATTGAGCTGTGTGCTAATCATTCGTCTGTAGGGTTGCCACAGGCGTCACTTTCAAGCAGGCCAAAGGCGATCTGGTAAAGAAGGGCTGGGACCCTCTCAAAGACTGGGGAGGCGACATCCTCTACTGGCTGGACGGAGAAAAGTACAAGAAACTGGAGACGCAGAGTTGGTCGGAGATCGAAAGTGGCAAGGCCAAGCTGTGAGATCGTTATAGAGCATCGAAGCCCTGCATTGTACATAACATAACTATTGGCACATTGTGGCCTGATATCCCAGGACCCATAACTTTAGTGCAAGCCGGAAGAGTTAAGCGACACACGCCACCAAATTAGAAGTCGAATCAAATCCATAGATTGACAAGCATTCAAGCTCCAACTAGGCCCGAGCAGACCTAGCGGGATGTGGAAAATCCAGTTTACCTTTGCGATCGGCGCTCTCATTCCAACGCGACTGGCTCCCCCTGGATGAGGGTTTTGGCACGCGGGGCCTCAACACGGCCTGGCTTATTTAGATCGCGCCGTCCCGCTTGATGTTCTTTTTCTTTTTCGTTCTCTTTTCTGTATTCCCCAACCTCTATAGTCATGGGTCAGGATCAGCACAAAGACCCTGGCCTCTCCACAGCGGAGGTGGACCGAGAAGGACATCCCGACACGATCGACCATCCAACAGCCCCAGACCAATTCGACGAGCGATACCGCACAACCCGCCTGGAAATCTGGGCTTATTACGCGTGCGTAGATCGTTGAATTGACCCTGTGCGCAAACTAAACCACAACTGTAGCTATTACATTGGGAACAACGGGTTATCACTATTCAGTTGGTCTATCTTGTCTTCGATCTGCATTTAACCGAAATGTAAACCGGAGAACTAACCTGCATCTTAGACTTCGCACCAACTGCATTCCAAAACCTCCTATACCAAGCCGCGCCATATGACGGCCTCCTCCAATTCGCCGGCCGGCAACGCTCAATAAACAGCATCGTCCTCCTCTCAAACGGAATCTCCTTCGCCATCCAAGTCGTGGTATTCCTAGTAATAGGCAGTTTCGCCGATTTCGGCTACTGGCGCCCAAACATCCTGATCGGATTATCGATCATCGCTTACGCCATCGGGTTTGGCTGGTTGGGCGTACACACGTCGGATAAATGGCATGTCGCGGTCGGACTGTATATGGTCGGATTGATCGCATACCAGACCACACTCACCTTCTGGACCGCTGCGTTCCCTAGTCTGGCGCGGAATACGTTGGAGCTTAAGGAGAAGGCGGATGCGTATTCTGCGGGCAGGATTTCCCGTGAGGAATATGATTATGCGGATACGATGATGCGCAGTAAACTTGCCAATGTGGCGTTTTATGTGCAGTCTGTTGCGGAGATTTTTATTTTGGCGGTTATTGTGGGCATTATGTTTGGGTTGAGGGTTAATGATAGTGAAGCTAATAATAACTGGGGACTGAGTGTGTTGATTGCTTTTGTGTCGGGTGTTTGGTTGCTTGTTTCGATTCCGTGGTTTGTGCTGGAGAAACGGCGACCTGGTCAGGATTCCGGGAAGCGGTCGATTCTTGTCGCGGGCTTGTGGCAATTGTGGCATGCTATGAAGCAGATTTGGCATCTGAAGCAGAGTTTGCTATATCTCATTGGTAGGTTTGCTCAGGTGGATGTGAACCTCTCGTTATTGGCGGCTGACTCTTGTTCTAATGCAGGTTATTTCCTTCTTGGAGATTCACTGAACACGACTGTGACTGTTATTGCGACTCTGCAGAATAGCATTGTCGCTTATAATACCTTGCAACTGACATATCTTCTTATTGTCGGTATTGCTGCACAGGTAAGCCTCAGTCCCTGACAAATGACATCAAAATCTAACAAACATACCTAGGCCGTTGGCATCTATGTATTCTGGTGGATCCAGCAACGCTTCAAACTTGGAACAAAAACAATGTTTAACACCATCGCCGTTGGAATCATCCTACTAGACGGCTGGGGCATGATCGGCATCTGGACAGACAAGTTTGGCTTCCACAACGCATGGGAAGTCTGGGTACGTCCACCTCCACCTCAAATTCACAGCCCATTAAACAACCCCTAATTCTCGGCTTTTTTACAGGTCTACCAAACATTCTACGGTCTCTTCATCTGCCCCTGGTACAGCTACTCGCAAATCATGATCTCAGAAGTAACGCCGCGCGGCCACGAATTCCTATTCTTCAGTCTGTTCAGCATCATCGGCAAGACATCCTCCTTCATCGGACCCATCGTCTCAAGTGCGATCATTGACGCCAGTCCGACTGGCAATGCCTCGACGCCATTTTACTTTTTGTTTGCGTTGAGTCTTGTTAGCTTTTTGATTCTGTTTTGGGGTGTTGATTTGAAGAAGAGTCAGATTGAGCAGGAGCAGTTCTTGTTGGATAAGTTGAGGAGGTTGAATGGGAGTCAATCTTCTGATGATAGTGTGGCTTAGAATTCGGGTTGATTGTTTGATTGTATATCTTGCTTTCAATTGGGCTTTGTTTGGACTTGAGGTTCCAATTCGTATATACTTCAATTACATTTTGTATAGCAAATCGACTGCTATATAAATATTTTGTCTAAAATTCTAAAAATCTACGAAGATTTTGTTTATTAGATCTTTAGAATACGTAGACGACTCTTTTTATGTACCAGTATATTATAGCGAGCAAGTATGATATTGCCGGATACGTGCGCCACTCCGCCAGACTACGATGCTGTCTCAGGATTTGATAGATTTACTATTAAAGCACTGTATATTCCTAATTTACACTGGTCCCACCCTGCCGCAGTTTTTCATTTCGGTCTTATAAACTCGGTCTCTGAGGCGAAGTATCTCGGCACCGAAAAAGCTAAAATCTGACATGTTCGGTCCCGAACATTGAATATTTAAACCAATGCGCGATGAACATTTTCCTAGCAATTGATCATTAGATTTTTTTCAAACACCAATTCTTATCTCCTATTATGATGTATTCCTCCAATACACCTCCAGTCATCGTTGTGGGCGCTAGCCTCGTCGGCCTGTCTGCAGCCCTATGCCTGGCCTCACACCAAGTACCAACCATCGTCCTCGAAAAGCATGCGGGAATCTCCGCCCACCCACGCGCAGTTGGATTCACTGCTCGAACAATGGAAATTTACCGCTCTCTAGGGATCGAAAATAAAGACCCTGCGCCAGACAACTTCGAGCTCAAACGCCTCCGTGTCGAAAGCTTGACGGGCAAGTGGTTTGAACAGACCTCATGGTCAGATACGGAGAAGAAGCGCGATGTCAAAGAAGCACCAGCACCAAAGCACCAGCGGAATCTCTCCCCTCCAAAGAAAGAATATTCAGCGTCTAGAGGAACAGCTCTCCCCCAAGACAAGCTCGAACCAATCCTCGAATCACTAGCTCTGGAACTCGGCACAGATATCCGGCGAGAACAGACCGTTCTCAAAGTCGAACAAGACCAACAAGGGGTCCTGGTCACAGTCCAAGACTCACATGGCAAAACCAACCAAATCCAAGGCTCCTACCTCATCGCAGCAGACGGAAACCGCAGCACAATCCGCGAGCACCTCAAAATCCCCCGCCAAGGCCGCGGCTTCATGCAAAACCTCCATAGCGTCCTCTTCCGCGCTCCACTAGAACAATACTCCAAAGGAATTGTCCAATTCGACATCGACCAACCAACCCTGAAAGCCTTCCTAGTCTCCTACAGCGATGGACGCTGGGCATTAATGTTCCGCGACGATATCGAGCGCGATGATACAGCCCTAATTTCTGCAATTCACCAAGCCGTCGGCGACTCCTCCATCCCGGTTGATATCATCACGACTGGTAGATGGGAACTTACAGCTCTAGTCGCTGATACCTTCCAATCTGGTCGTGTCTTCCTTGCTGGGGATGCAGCGCACACACTTCCTCCTAATCGTGGCGGATACGGTGCAAACACTGGTATTCATGATGTGCATAACCTTGCTTGGAAACTTGCTGCTGTGCTAGGGGGACGGTCTTCCTCGGGACTTTTGGATACTTATGATCCTGAACGGAGGCCTGTTGCTTTGTTGCGTCATGATCAGATCTTTGTTCGTGCTGATTACAAGGTTCATCTTGATGCTAAGGCTACTGTTGGGGAGAAGATTGATGATGATGCTATGGAGTTTGGGCAGATTTATTTATCTAATGGGTTTGTTGGTTTGGACGGGGATCTTCCTCGTGCGAGGAAGCCGGATGAGTGGGCTGGTCAGCCTGGGACGCATTTGCCGCATTTTTGGGTTGAGAGAGATGGGAAGAGGGTTTCTATTTTGGATGTTATTGGGCAGAAGTCTTGGACGCTGATTTCGGCTTCTGAGGAATGGGAGACTGTCTTGTTGGGTGTTAACGAGAAGTCTCGGAATACGATTCGGTCTGTTCGTGTGGATGATCAGTTGAAGGGGTTTCAGCAAGCTTTCTCCGTATGTGAGACTGGTGCTGCTCTTATTAGACCTGATGGATATATTGCATGGAGGTCGAAGGGGATGCCGTCTAATGCGGTTGATGTTTTGAGGGAGGTTTTAGATCAAGTTGCCTTTGAGGCCGGATTTACAGATTAGAATATGTGGAGGTATAGGATATGTCGTGTTATTTCATGTTGTATAAAACGGGTTGATTTGTGTACATACTACTGCCAGATGGCGTTATACCAAGAACTTTAACAGCCCTTCCGTAGGTCGGAAATTGGTATCAGAGATTAACTTTAGTTTTAAAGTAAGAAACCAGTTTATTAGCTTTGTTGAACCTGCAACCAAAATTTAAAGCCCCCCTAATAAAACCCTTCCCTATGAATTTGGGTCAGTGGAAACCCAGCAGCTCGTAGTCCATCAGTAGCAGAATCTCCGAAGGCATTGGGCCCACAAATAAAGACCTCTTTATCCCGAGGGAATCGTTTCCAGATCTGTGAAACGACACGACCTTCGTGCATGGTAATCTCCCGAGACGGCGTATTGAGATATCCGACGTCAACTTTGAAAGTATGGGAGAATATGTCAATCCTGATCTTGACTGTCGCTGGCATCTTCTCAAGAGCTGACTTCATCAACCCGACCATAATCTCAGGCTCTCTAGTGGATAGAACAAGCGCGATATCGCCATCAATCCTGGAACCACGCTCAGCCAGTGCGCTCAGCATAGCTAGGAATGGTGTTATACCAATTCCACCAGCTATGAGGAGCAGATTGAGCTTGCCCTGGCCCATGCAGAAATCCCCTGTGACGCCAACTATGTCCGCAGAAATAGGCGTATCGAACAAGATAGCTTGACCCTGCTTGGTTGAATTGTGTTTTCTCAGTTGGTCAAACAATGCACCTGTTACCGCGCCTCCCTTCAACTCACGCATGGTTAACTCAAAGCAGGTGGCGTTTCTCTGCTCGTGGGCACTTGAAACTGTCCAGGTACGAACTCGATCGTCGTTGATCGACCCAGGGGCTGAATTCGCCATGTGCTGATACTGAGGCGGGCCTATCCAATCCATAAAGTCAAGTACGATCGCTTGTCCGGGCCGAATATTCAGGTCATCGGCGCCAACCTCTGAAGCAACTTTGAATTTGAAAACAGCAAGATCGTGAGAGATCTGTATTGCCTCTTGAAGCTTTGCTTTATGCTGCTGAGCACCACCCACTTGTGATCCCGCCTCGTCCACCAGGTATTTGACCTTGGGACTGTACGGACTGCGCTCCACGACGGTACCACTCTGCTGCCGAACAGGGAGAGCGTCCCTCACAAACACAAAACCCGTAATATTGACCGAGGTGAGACTGGCATGTCTAGTCAAGATTTTCAGAGCAGGGGGACCGACAATGTTCTCGGCTGTGCCCGTCAAGTAAAGAATATCACCCGTGGTGAAAGACACTATCGTCAGCCCCGCCAGTCCGCTGGCTTCAATATTGCCCAGGCTGGAGACAAATCGGTTTCCTGAATAGTCGGGGATGATCACAGTGCGGCCATTGGATGGGCTGACACGGATAAAACCTGGCAAGCCACTTCGGGCATTCATGCCTGCATGTGATGGATACATCTTTGACGTCGAGGCTTTTGAGTTGAAGATAGTTCCGATGAAAATTGTGTCTGCATCGAGAATGAATTGGATCACTTCTTCTGGTAGACGTTCCTGTGCCGACAGATTTTGACGCTGACACACAACCTCAGGTTTTGTGTGCGGATATGGAATGAGCTTGCGGATATTGATGTATTTTGGACAGTTTCTAGATTGATATTAGCAGGTACCCCACACAGTAGTGATGGATTTAGCATTTTCTGCTCACCCTATAGCCTCGATGATTTCAAAGTCAATCTGGTACTCCAAATTTGTCCGACGCTTCACATTACGTATACCTCCTGCGAACTTGTTACGCCTTCGCGTTGAAAATTCAATCCCCAAACCGGCCGTCAAGAATCTCCCGGGGGCTTCCTTTTGTTCCTCTTCGAGCCAGGCTTTGATTGTATCCAAAAGTGGATCACCATCCCACATTCGAACGTTCATAGAAAGAGCTCGTGCATTTGGACTTTTCACGAAACCAATATCGCCCGATGATCCAGCGACAATAGATGCCCAGGGCCGGCCATATTCATCAAGAGTGGCGATAGGGATGAAAGGGAGCTTAGAAGTGTGAAAGAGGCGGTGCTGCTCAGGCAAGTAGTTAGTGATAAGCGACCAGCTATCGGCGATGGCACTGGCAAATCCCAGCTTGCGCTGAATCGATAGCTCGCCTGGGTGCCACCCGTTGACAGCGTTCATTGCTGTTGTAGCCATGGCGGGTGTGGTGTGAAGAACTATCGACGGAGTGTCGTTGAGGCGTGTAATGGTCAGTCTATGGTCAGTTATATCATTACATCTTTTGGATTTTGTGAAACAAAATGCCGAAATATTTCTGAAGTCATCTCGTATTCATGAGGTATAATCCACGTTGGTGCAGACGCCGAAAGATGACAAATGCCGTCTCGGCGTCTGAAAAGCTCCCCGACAGTAGAGAAGTGGCCAGGGTAACCCCTAACATTGGATGATTATGATGATTATAGCAGACTAGCTTCTGAGTCACATAGGATAAATATAGGATAGAACTACCTATCTAATAAATCTCTGCCAAAATGCCGCTTTTTATGAACCGTGTAGATACGACCTCGGGAATGATGACATAGATGTCATCATGCGGGATGCAGGCTACGTGTTAATTCGTAAGCAATTGGGCATTCATTCCCCGCAGGTTCGTATAAGAAATGATGCGTGTAAGCTTTAAACTGAACATCCTCGTATTGTAATTTGTTTGGTATTTGTGCTCGGCTGACTCCAAATATCTCGAACACTCAAATTCTCGAGCTTGTAAAAAGACCATCTCACCCTTCGGGACTAATTACCATGGCTACAAAGAATATGGCGGTCTACCACTACCTTGATATCGGCAGACTAGGCCGGGGAGAAGTTGTCAAGTGAGTACCATACCCCTCCTGAAGAATCCTTACAAGCTTCACCACCCTGAATTTGCACTGCTTAAGCTGATTTCGTAAAGACTGTTCTTGAAGGATTCTGGTATCAAGTTCAAAGAGGTCCGTTATGCATACGACGAGACCTGGCCTAAGATTAGCAAGATTCTCCAGGAGCAAGGTGTCACAAGAACAGGAAAAGTACCCGTACTTGAGTACCAGGGCTTGATCCTCACGCAGGTCTGCTACATCTCTTCTTTCTTACTGCATTTGATTGGATTCTAATTTGGATTCTAGCATATCCCGATCTTACGTTACCTTGCTAGAGACCTTGGCTCTTACGACGGAGAAACCAACCAAGAGAAATACGCGGTCGATGTTGTCTCTGACATCTACATTGACTGGAGAGTAAGTAAATCTCAGTCAAAGCTCTCCGATTTCATATATTGACCAGCCTAAAGTCCAAATGGGTAGCCAACCTGTCGAACAAAACGGACCAGTACAAGGATGAGGTTGTACCGACGTACTACAGTCTCCTGGGACAGTATTACAGTGATAACGACGGCCCGTACCTCCTAGGTGATAAGGTCACCTACGCCGATTTTGCGGTTTATCAATCCATTGATAATGATGAAAGAACTGGAACTCTTCCGGTAACCTCTCCCCACCAATGCTTACATAGAGTCCGACTGATCGATTTTAGTCCTCTCTCCCGCAGCCACTTCTCAAGTTGCGAGAGGCTATTGAGAAGCGACCCAATATTGCAGAATATATTAGGGAGACTCGCAAGGACTAGGACTTCGAATGGGTACAATTATCACCTAAAAGTAGCTACCTTACTTTGCAACGCATTTGATTTCTTCATTGTTTACACCTTTCTTCCAGTAGTTCATATATTTCTGCAGAGAAAGCTTCCCCCAGCCCCAAAGCGAGGCTCGATTTAGAGCTAGCCATAGAGCCAATACACCCAAGTCTTTTGAAAAGCTCGGCATAATCCCCTGCGTTCCATTATTTCGTGGCTAAAGATTGTGTAGTAGTGGAGCTTAGCGTATGGCGTGGTTTATGAAGGGTAAAATAGGATACATAACCGAGCCTGTGTGAGGTTTTGCTATGGTGTACAATTCGTGTAGTCTTCTAGATAGATATCTTGGTGACAACCGTCTCATGGAGAGGCATGCTAGTATGTGCTCTCCATAATCACGGCTCGATAGCACATTAGGAAATCCGAGCTCACGTTAGTATTATTGGGTTGTTCAACCTAAGATAATGGAAACTAGATCGGCTGTTTCTCGTTGTCTATAAAAAAGATGTATATGCCTCACCGGCTGATGGCATCTTCCCTGAGGATAGCGCTCAGCTCATCCCGCTGCTTGCAGTTTTCCATCGCAAAGCTCGATGCTAACACCTCCAGTTCTTCTTCCGTCTTGCCCCGAAAGAGTTCAGCCATTTCCCACCCAACATACTCACTCATCAAGCACTCTCTCACCACACGCTCCACGTGTCGGTCAAATGACCAGACCTTGGGGTACTTGACCGAGTGATACACCTCTGGAACCATTGTCTTAAGGCCAGAAATAAATGGCCCGTACACACCCTCCACACCACTCTTGTCAACCACACCCCAGAAGTCCAGTCCTAGCTCCTGTTTCCGAGTAACAAATGGCTGGATGAGCTTCATATAAGGTGTCTCTGGGTCCACGTACACCATGCCCTGGTACCCAATATCCTTGTAAAGCCAGATTGACCAGCTGACCCCAGTTTCCGCATAGATGGAAAGCTGCTCCTTCAACAGGGCAAATCTCTTGGCATTTGTCTCTGCTGCTGCTGCCGATCCGACTCTTCTCTCGTCGTCGTAAACAGGACCGAATTCACCGTTCCAGATGGGAACGTTGTTCTCGCGCATAAACTTGACTTTGCGCTCAAAGCTACTCCTTAGATACTCTCTTTGAGATTTCGTGCCTTCGTATTGCTGCCCAGTAGGGAACCCCATCTTGTTGTAATCATGACAGGCATACACTGTGTTAGGTAGTAGAGGACTCTCTGTGAACGCTCGGAAATCCATGGCGTAAGTGTTGCCGTCTATGAAGAGCATATGGTCCGGGTCAATAGCTCTGATAGCCTTTTCAATCCTGGCGCAAAACCGCACAAGCCGAGCGCCGTAAAAGCCATTGTCAGTCATGGTCGGGTCTGCAGGCTCGTTGAGGGGGTTGTAGCCTGCGATAACTGGGTTGCGCCCATAGCGTCTGGCGAGCGCCTCCCAGAGCTGAACGACGCGATCCTGGTGGTCTTTGAAGTCCCAGAACTGGGCTCGTGCAGCTCCAGAGTCACAGTGCCAGTCCTGGTTCTGTCCTCCGGGAACAGCGTGAAGGTCAAGGACCACGTAGATGTTGTGTCGGGCACATATATCGACACAACGGTCCAACAGGGCAAAACCTCCTGGTTTGAGGACATTAGGGCTCATGTCATCAATGAAGTGCCGGTAATTGAAAGGAAGACGGATGCAATTGAGACCAAGGGAGGCAAAGTACGCTGCATCTGCATCGGTGAAGAAGTGGTGAATCAGTCTGTCGAAAAAATATTCGGCCTTCTTTTGTCCCAACACTGAGGCTAGCTGTGCCCGATGCTCGTGTTCATGTCCTGCGAACCCAGTAATGAAGTTTTCCATGTTGAGGAAGCCACCAATGCCGGCACCTTTAAGGATAACCGTTTCACCAGCAGGGTTGACGATACGTGTGCCATCCACATGAAGCATCGTGCAAGGTGGTAAGCCCCCATCGGTGATTCTTGGTGTGCCATTGACAACTTTGTTGGCTGAAGGAACCATTTTGTCTGGGAAGATTGAGTAGCTAAATGAATATCCGCCAAAGACCGCTGCTTCTCCATATTTATACATATGAACAATACAATTTGAACCACATTATTTGGGTAATCCATGTTGGGCCTATTACATTGAGACCTAAGAGGCTCCACTGAAGGATAATCGCCAAGGCTGGAGTTTTAAGGCGATACTCCCCGACGATCCGCTGGATGGCGCTGGGGCGACTCTCCCCGAAGGCCAATGTCTAAGTCATAGATTATACCCTAAGCTAAATCATTGTGGCGTGACCGTCCGGTACCTCTTCCGGGTCTGAATGAGTTCAAGTAAATAGGCACTGAGACTAAGTGTGACCTTTCCGGTTGCGACCTACCGAACCCAGATCTGGCAACTCTAAAGTGGCGCACGGGCAGTTGATTTATATGCGATATCTTCTGTGGCACTTGGAACGCTACAGTAGTGAAATCTAGTGATTAGCTAAATTTCGGCTAAATTGAAGCCTTGATAAGACCCGGACAATCGGCCGTATTCTCTTTGCAACAGCTGCACCCACTGTCCTGCCTCGGTCATCTCATTTTGCCAGATCGTAAGGAGCCCCATTGTTTTGGATATTGCCTCCTGCCAGCCAGATGGCAACTTGCACCCTGCCAGGCCCCCCGCCACCAGGACAAATGCACTTCGCGTACAGGTTCGAATTAATGGCACGGTTCCGTGATGACGATGTAGGAAGCCCGGCTCATTCACGTATATTCGCTGTATATGAAGTTGCAGCCCTTTTTGTCCCTTTTCTTCAATCTCCGGGTCCGGCGTCCCCTGCGAAGACGTGGTTCCAATATATGCCATCACCCACGGCCAGTAAATAAGCTCATACATATCGATAAGATGGCCCCGAAGAACAAATCGACATACTTCATCCTCCTGGGGTGGTTCAGTAGCGGATAATTCAGCCGGGAGACTCTCAGACCAGGCTTGTATTTGCGTCTCGTATTCGGCAACCATGGGCCCAAGGGCCGTTATAAAAGCCGCTGGTGACGCATGAGTTTGATGAAGGGCCGTGATTTCCTCTGCTATACTACTACTCAATCGCCGCAGGTATATTTCAGCAAGATAAAATAGCCAAGACGCGCGTTGCCGCTGCGCACCTTGGTTCTTTGGAGAGCCGAGCGGTTGTGGGGGGTTCGGAAAAAAGTGTGGGTATAAAGCGCTTCCAGTATGCGCAATGTTGAAGTCCGGAAGAGAAAGCTCCATGCTCAGCTCTCGCTCTGACTTCCAAGCGGACCAGTAGACAGCTTGCTCGTAGGTGTCTGGAGAGCCTGGACTACTGGAAATATCCAATTCAGATGCTAGATCTTGGGCATGGGCGAGAAAGGGCAAGCGCTGGCACGCTGCCAGAGCCTGCGAAAAGAATCTCCAGGCGTAGAATTGCTGGAAGACGCATACCATGTATACCCCGGAGAGGAAGAGGCATTGTGCTCCGATTATATCCGACCGGACGAGAAGTGACCCGATCCGCTTTTGTGCGGCCTGGAAGAAAACCTGTGAGTTCTGGTAGGCTTCGCTTCCGGGCTTAGTGTCCTGGCTGGAACCAAAAGGTGTAGCGATGGACCCTAGAGCACAGATGACCATGGCCAGACATGATGAAGGAGACCAATCCAAGCCATCGAGGAAAGCATCGTTGACCAGTCGCCGCGTAGCAATTTCATCCAGGATGGGGTTCTTGCAGTGCACGTAAAGGAAGAAGTTGTCCAGGATCGCGTTGATGCCTTGGGGCTCCATCTCCAAGAGTGCGGCCAAGGAGCATCCACTGTGAGAGGGAGCGGCAATGGTGTCGGGGACGGCGTTTCGGAGGACCTGAGACGATGGCCCAGATGGTTCACGCATAAAGATGGGCCATCGCAGGACAGACTCGGTTCGATCCGGCAGGACATTTCCATAAAGAACCAACTTTCCCGTATTGGCCCCTGTAGCATTACTACGCGGCTGACACAAGGTTGAAATATGTTCGGCTTTGTCGTTCAAGTCGATTGCTGCAGTCGAAGAAACAAGTAGTTGTTCTATATCATCCAATCGCTGCAATATCTTCAGACTCGCGGGGTCAAAGCTCGACAGGTCCACTGGTGACTGTATACATGTGGTCCCAACCTTGACGCAGTATGAGCAGCTTGGCTTTGCGTTGTCGCATTTGGTCTTGCGGGCTCGGCACACCTGACAGGCTGTGTTTGCCCGCTTCCTGGGGTAAAAGGCAGTTCCTCGGGGAGCTGGTCTTTTTCCCGGGTGATATTCGGCGATTTGGTACTCCATTTGGGGTAGGCGTGGAACGCTGGAGGAAGGGAAAGGCTCAGACGGGGAATGTCGCCCACTTAACTTAGTGGACACGCATTTAGCCGGAAAGCGACTCACATCCTTTTCAATACTTGCCCAGTCATCTCTTCTGGTGTGGATGCTGAGAGTTTAGCCGGATGACCCAGCCAATCTCCTAGCGTTTTTCGGGGATTGTCGCTCTCTCCGCATCCCCGCAATCCCCAGACCCAGCAGGCTGGTCCAGATGTGCATGTATTGGTGATCGCAACCGGGACTACTTTATATCAGCTCTAAAATCATACCACCCTGACCTGGCGCCACCAAAGGCAATGCGCCTAGGTGGCAATACCAGAGGGATCTAAGTAGGTAACATTTATATAAATGCGCCTGCTCTCTATCTGAGCATACATTCTCAAGAGTAGCAACTCTACGAGATTTCTTTGCGCTAACGCAGCTATTCGTATGGATTCAACAGATAAGGTCGAAGCTGGAGCAGGCGGCCACGCGGTCACAGTGGAGGATGTCACGACAAAGCAGAGCCAGTTGAGTATTGAGCAAAAGGCTGAGCACGATCTTACTCTTCGACATATCTTCCGTCACCATCCTGCCCTGGTATGGTGGTGTTTCTACTGGGCTATGGCCGCTGTTGGTTGGTAAGTCGTGGCCTACCCAGGTGTCATAGCGACTGTGCAATGTGCTGATGTCTCAGGGGCTTTGATGCGCAGATCAATGGAGCCATGATTTCCGTCGCGGCCTTTCGTCGCGACTTTGGGTACGGCATACACCATTCTTGTGTCTCTGTCTAGACTGACACTTATAGATATGTCGTAAATGGCGAGTCCGTACTTCCTGCAAGCTGGCAGACTGCCTTCAACACCGTCAGCAGTGTTGGTCAATTCTTCGGTGGCTTCCTCTGCTCATGGATCTCAGATCGCATCGGACGAAAAGGCTCCCTGCTTCTCGGCCTTCTTTGTGTCACGGGTGGTATATTCGGCGAGATTTTCTCCACTTCCAACTCTGCCTTTGTCGTCTCAAAACTTATCCTAGGCGTGGGCCTCGGGTTCTACCTCACCCTGGCGCCCCTAGCAACATCCGAGATCGCGCCAGTGGTCTTGCGAGGCATTGCATCTGCCGGATGTAACCTCGGGATTGCTATAGGCCAGCTGCTCTCCAATGCAGTCATCAAGGGCTTCGGTGAGCGGACTGATCACTGGGCATATCGCGGTCCATTTGCGGTCCAGCTTTTCTTTTGCCTTTTCCTTGCCGCTGGCCTTGCCTTCGCACCAGAAACACCCTGGTACCTTGCACACAAGAAGAAAAGAGAGGAAGCCAAACGATCTATCCGAAAACTGTACGGCTCAGCCGTAGATGCCGAGTCGAAACTTGCCGTTCTGGAAGCAACCATTGCCGACGAAGCGGCCAGCGCCTCAGAGCGGCCCTCTCTGCTCTCCTGCTTCAGGGGCACTGACCGACTGCGCACCATGATCAGCATGGGCGTCTTTGCGTGTCAGCACTTTGCAGGCATCATTTTCGTTCTCGGCTACTCTACCTACTTCTTCCAGCTCGCCGGGCTGGACACGTCCAATAGTTTCAATCTTGGGGTGGGTGTCACTGCCTGTGGTGTGGCAGGCAACGTGTGTAGCTGGTTTGTCGTGAACTCATTCGGACGTCGAAGCGTCTTCCTAAGCGGAATGTGTATATTGACAGCTCTGCTTCTGCTGATCGGCATTATGGATGTCGTCCCTACGGGTGCCGCGAAATGGACCCAGGCGGCGGCAACCGTGATCTACGCCTTTTTCTACTTTGCTACAATTGGAGCTATGGCTTTCGCCATCCTGGGCGAGGCTAGTAGCACCTCACTGCGCGCGAGTACCATGTCGCTTGCAACGGCTACGCAGGCGGTTATGGGCATTGCGATGAACTTCGCCATCCCTTACATGGTGAATCCAGATGAGGCTGACTTGAAGGGAAAGGTAGGCTTTATTTTCGGCGGCCTGGCGCTAATTGCGACCCTCTGGAGCTTCTTTTTTGTTCCCGAGCTGAAAGGAAGAACGTTCGACGAAATTGACAAGATGTTTGCTCTAAGGGTGCCTGTTAGGAGAATGAGGTCCTACGGATTCTAAAGCTTGGGCTTAGGAATCTTTTTGTATCGTTTGAGCAGATGTTTATTTATGTTCTATGGCGGATCGCCGCTTTCCCGTAACTATCAATACCTATATTATATGATATCTGCGAACTATATCCATGAATATTATCTAGTTGCAACGACTTACAACGTTGTCTCTCAAGTCTTCATAAACAAGAATCAAATAGATCTCTGGGCAAGGCCTATGTCCATTTCATGCTATAGTCTCTCGACAGTTCGTTGTTATCGGACTTCCCTTCAAGGAGTAACTAGAAGACTATCCATAACTTCGATTTCTGTCGGCAAAAACTACCCGCGTGCAACAGGGGTCATAAATACATGGACAGTGCCATGAAGCATTGGATAGTCTCAGTACACCTTGAAGTGAGTGTGCCGTTTCATGTATTCTTTTCGCCCTACTTAGGCTTTTTTTTTTCACATCTTTTTTGCCCATTCTCGAGTGCCTCGGGTCAATGGTATAGATTATATAAAGGTAGGGTGTGGAAGAACTTATGGCCTATGACTATACAGGTTATGGTGTTTTACTTGGAACTAAATAATTGAAAACACTGTCTGACTTTGGTGTTGCAGTGTTACGTGTCACGTCTCATCTCGAGTCCAGCCTGATTCCCGTTTCTTTCTCCAATCGGGATGTCTGCCGTTGGGCTCGATAGCCCTGTACTTCATATTTAGAATGATTGGGAAGTCACACGAAGTACGCCAATGTAGCACTCGGTGGAACTGCGGGTTTTTACAGCGTTAATGTGGCTCATCAGGGGAATATAGCAACGTGGAGGAATTCTGTACGAGTCTGTCGCTCTATACCATATGCCGTATAATAAACGTAACATACTATATAACTTAGTTGTGGGAGCCCGGCAGGGATGGATGTTCCAAAGGCCGTTTGTTTGTGTGACCATCTAAGAAATCGCGTTGCTGACGGCAGCTTCCTCTTGTGGTCGTCCCAAGGTTGCGTCCATCGTGACTTCTCACTTCTTCTTTTCCTTCCTCTTCCCCTTCTTCTTCTCTCTTCTCTCCTCTCTTCACCACCGCCTCCTTTCAATTTCCGCTTCGAGGCTTTAGGTGGGTTGAATCCTCCATTTACACGTGCTCCTCTACTAACTGATCTACAGTTGACTTCAACTACTTCAGCATGTCCAACCACGTTGGTACTGTTGACCTCAGCCTCATTGAGGCTCCAGTCACCTGGCGCGCCTACATGATCTGTGGCTTTGCAAGCTTCGGAGGTAAAACCAACTACCCTTTACAAAATTATAACGGCTCACACCTCGATAGGCATCCTTTATGGCTATGACTCTGGCTACATCAGTGGTGTCCTTGGCATGGACTATGTCAAGGAGCACTTTGGGCACCACGTTCCCAAGAGTGATGATTCCCCTACCGGTTTTGAGATTGCGACTTCGCGCAAGTCTCTCATTACCTCTATCCTGTCTGCTGGTACCTTCTTCGGTGCAATCCTTGGTGGTGCCGTGGCTGAGATGATTGGTCGTCGCCTGGCTATCATGCTATCCTGCTTGATCTTTTCCGTTGGAGTTGCGGTTCAGGTTGCTACCACCTCCGTTGGTGGTCTTGTGGCTGGTCGTCTGGTTGCTGGTCTTGGAGTTGGTGGTGTCTCCTCTGTTGTCATTTTGTATGTCTCCGAGATCAGTCCCCGACGTGTCCGTGGTTTGCTTGTTTCCATGTATCAATGGGCGATTACAATCGGTTTGCTCGTGGCCTCCGGCGTTGATCAAGCCTGCAAGAACCGAACCGACTCGACCTCTTACCGCATCCCCATTGCTCTTCAGTTCATCTGGGCCATCATCCTTGCCGCTGGTCTTTTCTTTTTGCCTGAGTCCCCTCGATACTATGTCCGTCGTGGCCGAACCGAGGACGCTCTGCGCTCTCTTTCTCGGGTCCGTGGCCAGTCTCTAACCCACCCAGCTATCCAGGCCGAGCTCGCGGAAATCCAGGCCAACTATGATTACGAGAAGAGGATTGCCAGCACTTCCTGGGCTGATTGCTTCAAGGGTGGTATGTCGCCTCGCGGCAACCTTCGTCGCGTTATTGCCGGCACTGCCTTGCAGATGTTCCAGCAGTGGACTGGGATCAACTTCATTTGTATGTGATCATTGTATGACTTCTTCACCGACTTATCGCTAACTTCCTTTCTAATCTAGTCTACTATGGAACCACCTTCTTCCAGCAGGTCGGCTTGCAGAACCCGTTCCTGATTTCGACTATTACAAACGTTGTCAACGTTGTCACCACCCCTGCCTCATTCTACATGGTTGAGAAGTACGGACGTCGTACTCTACTGATTTGGGGTGCCGTTGTTATGTGCATTTGCGAGTACATCATCGCAATCGTTGGTGTTGCTTCTCCTGACGGACACGCAGCGTATGTACCAATGTTGAAATCCTGTGCGACAATAATATTTACTAACATCATTCTAGAAACACCTGTCTCATTGTGTTTGTCTGCTTCTACATAGCCGCGTTTGCCACCACCTGGGGCCCTGCAGCTTGGGTCGTCATCGGCGAAATCTATCCCCTTCCCATCCGAGCCAAGGGTGTTGCCCTCGCTACAGCTTCGAACTGGTTGTGGAACTGTGTCATCGCCGTCATCACTCCCTATTTGGTTGACAAGGAATACGGCAACTTGAAGTCAAAAGTCTTCTTTGTCTGGGGTAGCGCACTCTTCCTCTGTCTTTTGTTTGCCTTCTTAGTCATTCCTGAGACCAAGGGTCTTACTCTGGAGCAGGTAGACAAGATGCTAGAGGAGTCTAGCCCTCGCACCAGTGCCAAGTGGCGCCCCCATGATACTTTCGCTCACGAGATGGCCAGCGAGCAGTTCGGTCCCGGCATTGAAGAGCAGAAGTCGACTGCCCTTCACTCTGATCAGACTGTTCACGAGGGACCTCTAGAGCGCCGCCGTCTTAACGAATGCTAAGCCGACTTACCCTACGCAGACTTAATGCAACACGATCATGTCTGAAGCGAATTGTCATATGGAGTCTTTACTGAAGCACATCGAAAATTTGCATGGGATTAAAGGGAAAACAACAAAATTTACAAAAACTGGTTGCGCTAATTGTTGAGAATCCCTATGTAGTCTGAAATATGGATGATCGTGCATTCATCAGACACACTTGCTAGTTTATGTGCTCAGCCCCTTAGCTTAGGAAATCAAAAGCCTTTTAATCTATGAAAAGAGTGCAGGTAGACATAAAAACTTTGGTATTGAACAACATTTTTTGGAGACACATATACACGCCAGCTTGGAGCATACATGGGTTGCAACGTTGCAACGAAAGGACCAGGAGACAAGACATTCAAACGCCAGACCCATGCTCTGCCATAAGCGCCAAATCCGATACAAGATACCACAATCAAAGAGCAGCTCATTCCGCATCGGCAGATGCGTCCTTGGACTTGCTCTTCTTCTTTTTCTTCTTCTCCTTGCGCTCGGCAGCATCGTCCACATCAACATCCGCATCGGTCTCGCGCTTCCGCTTGCTCTTCTCCTTCTTCTCCTTCTTTCTCTTCTTCTCCTCCAAATCCACCGGCGCAACCTCCTCGGGCGCAATGAAATCCTTCTCGCGCTCGCGCATCTTCTCTTCCCGCTTGACCCGCTGCCTCTCGACAACCTCCTCCTTCTGAGCCCGATCCTTCGCCTCCTTCGACAAGAAATACTCTCCAGACTCGATCTGCAAGTCGACCTTGCTCTTCTCCGGTGCAGGCGGGAACGGCGTGTAAACCTTCTTGCTCTTGTCGGTAACCTGGAATGGAACATGACGCTTGGACAGCGTGCGCTTCTTGAAGTTAGGCAAGAACCGGTCCCAGGACTCTCCCGCCAGCGTCGGGTCCTTGGCCAACTCGCGTTTAATCATGAGCTCCTTGATATGGTAGATCGGATGGATATTCGCCATGCAGTCGTCGATGATCCGTCGCACCTCCTTCAACCCCTTGTAAGGTCCCATCACCGCAACCGTGTTTCCCTGTACCAGGATGTATGTGCTGGTGAGCAGTTCCAGTGCCTTGAGAGTTGAACCGTTCGGGCCGAGGATGCGCTGGCGCCGCTTGACGAAGCGCTCTTTGTTGCGGACCTGGTTGCGGATCTTGATCACGTCGCAGGCTGTGCCGTCTTCGAGGATCTTCATCGCTTGTGTGACTGGCACGCTTCGCGCGAGCAGCTTGATCAGATCGCGGGCTTTCATGATTGCGGCTGGGTCGTAGGTCTTTCGTGTTGTCTTCACCGTCATGCTTCCCTCCACCAAATCCAGTGTGCATGCGATCCCCTGCTTCTCCAGAGCGCGGGTGATCACCGGCCATGCTTCCTTCAGGTATTGTTCGCGGTATTTGGGGAAGAGGGTCATGAAGGATGACTCCTCGACGAAGCTTCCGGCGGCATTGTGTTCGGGCTTGAATTCTTCGATCTGTTCGGGTTCAGTCAGTATCTGAGGATAAATGGCAATGGAAATGCAAATAACGTACCTTCCACTTGTCGATGTCATCTGTGTCCCATGACTTCTCCTTGTTGTGTGTGGAAGGCATCTTGAGCGATGTTGCGCAAAAGAAAGAAAACGACAGTTCCGGAGCTCAAATGAAAATCCGCGCCAACTTTTTTTCTCCCCGCTTTCCCCGATCGGGAATCTTTATGCCTGAAAGATCAGGTGTCTTTTGTCTATATCGGGTGCATATCATCCTGATCACTCCATGTAGATATTCTACAGTATTGCATGCGGTCAGTAGTACGACTTCAAAGACTGGTTTTGATGTAAAATGTATGTATTCTATTTGAGCCTTTTCTGCTGGTCAAGGAAGTATGAAGAAATTCGTACGCCTTATGACGCCCAACCTAGATTTTATAGATGCCCAGTGAATAAGACAGAGAATGCTTTCGAGTGTATGTTGGCCGAGTACTTGGTACTTGATATTGCAAATCCTCTCTGTTCTCCCCTGTTGCCCCTTAACGGTTTCCTCCCCGGGCCCCTCCTTTTAACGGAGACAGCACGGCAACCGGGGTGATAGATAGGCTCGGGATACCCGAATGTCTGTGCCCAACCGGTTACTTGACGAGTAAGATAGTCTTGATATCAATTGAGGCTCTCCATGATCTTTCAATCTCCGTAGTCTTTTGTAAGGAGAGAAGCACCAGCACTATGTATCATCTCTCGGGAAAGTAGCCGTTAACCCAGGGGCATTCCATAACAAACTTTAAGCCTTCTCCCTAGAAAACGGTATGGTCTCTTCCGAGTAAGGGACAGGAGAATAAATGCCCGGTTCTGTCGGGTCCGTCCGAACCTGCACGTTGTCTCGTATACAACCCAGGTAGACGGTAATCGAGACGTCACGGCTGTGATTAGGTACCGGCGAGAACTAACGGTATGATAACTGGTCAGATCGTTCTTGCTGCCCAAGGGAGGTCAGTGTGATAGGAGACTCAAATATAGCTGGTCTGAGGGGAGAAATGTCACTTGGTAAAGAGAGATTGCGAATCAACAATAACTTTGAGAGGCTGTCGGGGATCGCAATGGCATATGTAAGTTCCAAGGGGGTGGTAAAGGGTTGTGTAGAGTGAAGATCTCCGATGGCAGCGGGTGAGGCTAACAGCCCTGGTAGTTCCAGGTGCCTTCCCGTCAGTTCTGGTAACTCTCCCCTTTCACTTCTCTCGTCTCGTTTCCTCTCTGTTCATCCTTTCTTCGTCAGTGTTGTTGCTCATTGAGCTTTGAAGCACCCTTGAGGTTTCCAGTAATCCATGATGACTCGATAACGTCGTTCAGACTCCGGCCGTGGGTCCCGTCGAGGCTCTCAGGCACCAGGCACGACCTCGTGGGGGTTGGACACACAGCAATCTCGATCGTCTCAGGCTCTCTATTTTGCACTCTCCACTCGTTCCATCGAGCTATCAGCACCCTATACTAGGGCCATGCGAGTCATTGCTTAGCGCAATCCCTAGATCCCCGATCCCCCGATGCCCGATCTGCCATGAGATCCTCCGATCCGCACCCGGGTCGCCATGTTCTGCGGCTTTCCGCAAACCATTCCAGGTGGGTATGAGGCTCTTTACAGCCGAGACTGGGCGCGTTTGGGCATTGTTAGCTCCGCAGAAACCACAACAGCGGGAAGTGGGCTACGAGCGTTCTCACACGCCAATCGTCCAGTCCCACATGCTTCTCTGTGCGACCACGCCCTCTTCCAAACCCCGGGATTCCCAGTCTTTCCAATGGACTTCAGCAGACACACGACCGTATTATGGATACAGAAATTCGACATGATACAGGGGGCACTGATGCGATCAAGAAAAATCATTGACTAACCATCTTTCGCTAAGTAGAGATATATGCAAGTGGGATGCAAATGGAGGCGATTGAAGCTGTACAGTATGCGAGTTGTGATGGATCAAGAGTGCCGACAACTAGTCGATCTCATCGCGAAGTCATTCTCGGCTGGGGAATCATGTCGGCGAGATTGGTTCGACAAGGTGGACTTCTATGGCTTTCGGCCAATGCAGACGTACCTGGTCTGTCAGAATGCATTTCCCAAGGTGTCAACGAGGCGATACTTACAGAGGAAAATATGGTTTCAACGTGTGGTCAGCCGCCTCCCGCTGTGCTTGCGTGACAAGGGCCTCGAAATTCTGTGGTGACATATGCAAACGTTGAATCAATGGGTAGAGGGCAAGTGATCGAAGAAGTTGCTTGATATTTTCGTGGTTCGACCGGCCGATGTTTCGCATTCTTGCATCTGCCCTGAATCAGTTTCGATCATTCACCCCAAGAGAAATGCCAAACCAACCATTCGACCACGCTGACAAAGGAAGAGGGATCATCTTTGTGTCCACCTCGACAAAGCCCGCCTCTGTCATGAGTGTTCTCAGTTTCGAACCAATTCGAAGATCTTTCCTATCCTCCAAAGCACGCAGATAGTGTGTGCTCCACCTTCTCAGGGCATGGTCGTCAGTGAGTGAGCCATTGTCGGATTGCACATTGAAGTATATCTCGACCATCTGTACCCATCCTCCTGGCTTCAGTACACTTGAAGGAACGCGGTGTTAGTCTTGAGGGTTCGATTGAATCGTGTCATGTTTCTCAGATCAACAGCAGAATCAACCTGCTCAAGGGGTTCGCGCACCTGACTATGTCACGGAGATAGGATGGCCATCGGGCTCGGTGGATACCGGTCGCAAGGAGTCTCGAGTGGACAAGATCGAAGTGGTTGGTGGGAAATGTGAAACGGCGATTCAGATCATCGACCTGTGGGATGACATGTTAGCAGTCCTTCTCAGAGGGTTAGGCATCGTTGATCACGAGTGGCCAAGTAAATCCTCAAGGCACAAAGCTTAGGTCTGCGGCAGTGACACTACTGTTCTCTCAGTGCAGAATACGCCTTTCGCCAAGGCGAACAACGACTTACCTGAAGCCACAAGTTGTCAGGCATATCGTCTGGATTCATGTGCGGCGCAATGTCCACGCCGATGACCTACAAGGCTCCGATTGTCAGATAATTGTCGAACCACTCTCAAGGGAACATCTCACCTCGCAGCTGGGATTTTGTTCAGCAACCTCGACAGCCCAGGATGCGGATCCATGCCCGCAGTCTAACACTCTTCGAAGTCGACGTATTGGTGGAAATATGAGGCGGTTATCGAAAATTCTTTGAAACACTTGCTGCTCGTCCTCGAGCCGTTCTGCTTCTTCCTGATTTGCTTGTCAGCAGTGCAACAATGGTGAGACTCCCACATTCCTACCTCGTCGACCGGTCCGAAATATGTGCGGTGATCGATCGAATATTTCTGATACTCGCGGCCCTGGAACGTGACAGTAGCGAGATATTCACGATCTAGTTCTATTGTCTGTGAATCCGGGCTCCTAGTTGTCAATATGAACGTCAGTCTTCCTTGGGTTACACGCACGAACGGGGAGATCAAGCGTACGCCATTATCACCCTGAATCAAGTGGAGTGGTAGACGAAGAAGAAAATCTCAGCTGGTATATACGGATTAGTCTGGCCAGGGCGGGGTTGAATCTTCCGGATCCAACAGAGTGCATCAGATCACGATGTTTGAAAAAGGAGCGAAAATCGATGTGATTTTAATGGAAGCGATCGGGTGCCGCTTGGAGACGTCGGCGGCAACGGCACCTTTAGGATGGCGGCTCGCGCGAGGATCATTCACCTTTGGGCGTCTGTTGGTGATGGTGGTATGGAGGGGCTTTCAGTCATACAGTGAACCCGAATGGACAAATGGAGAAAGCCAAATGGTCCGCCCAATTCAATTGCCTCGTGGAAGATCACAAAAACGATTTGTGAAGACACGGGGCGCTCAACGGCCAAATAATTAGCACCGATGGGGCCAGCGTAAGTGGTAACCAAATTCGATTACTGCGGACTCCTAATTCCCTCCGGATCGCTGATGTGGTCCAGGGCAACTCCGAGACCTCATTCACACCACAAAGAAACTACTGCGCGTGACAACTTTCAAGTATTCTACTTCCAGGGGAATGGGATATTCAACCAGGACGGAAGAAGCAAGAAGGCGGGTCTGTTGAGTAGCCGAACAGTGGTTCACGGAATGTGCTGGCAGGATTGGCATACTGACATGTATCAGGATAGACTTGACTCGGTTCCGCCGCTTAAAGCCAAGCTAACGAACCTTGAGCCTAGGCGGCAGTGCCGTCAACTAATGCACAGTTCGCCGTCACGCATAGCACCTACTTTGCATGAAGGGTCCAAGGGCGCCCGACAGTGTGGATTGAGTGCAAACCCGCTCGCGCTGCATCTGACTAGGACATCCATACCGAACTTGTGAGGTTCGTTTCTGTGGTAAATGCGAAGAATTCCTTTGACAGGTATCAACGGTTGTAGCGCGACTATCCAGAAAACCGAGCCTATGGTTGCTTACGGTGATTCTTTCTCAAATCCTACCAACACGGTGTTCTTAACGACGAAAGGTGTCACAAGGGTTTCGCTCAGACAATGCAAAAGCCAACCTGAATCACCCAACGCTTGGGGATGAGGCTGAAACGATTGTCCAAAAGCAGTGCAACATGGCCATACGGAGAAAAAGGCCATCAGGAATCGGACATCATGATAGACCAAATTGAAACGAAAGCTTTGGTATTGGACTTCTGTCCAGCCCTCTCTGCACGCCCTGCATTACATGTACATTACAGATTCCAGAGGTCTGGAAACTGATCTTCGCTGGTTCCCGCTGTCAGTTCCAATCAAGACGAAAAAGAAAAGAAGCTGCCCACAATTGGACCGGAACCTTGGTGACACAGGTTTCCAAATCATTTACTCCCGCCCCGGACCAAAGCCGTATCCTCGGGCCAATGTCCATGCAGTACTGTGGGTGCCAGGTGGCTTGCTCAGCCCGGTCTCACAATTAGCACCACAGTGCCCCCCCTTCACCCCAACTCCAGTGGAGATTGACCGGGTCAGGATCAGCATCGTCCTCGTTGGACATCCATTCCCTCGGGATTTCCTGTGGATATACAATATTTTTGAATTTTGTTTATGCCCCTCTTCACTCGCGCTCACACACACCGCTTGTCTGGTCATGTTTTGTGTTCCATTCCAATGCTGTTGGCTTGATGACGCTACGCGGATTTGCTACAGGGATTTCTATTTCCTTCCCATCTTTTTTTCAGACGTGACAGTTCGTCTGGTTGCCTTGCTTATGGGGGTTCGTCTACATGTAAGTGCAGGGGCATAAACGTAATTCTGGCGGAGAATATATCCACCCCGAAGACATGCAATTCCGTGTGAATGTGGGTATCGTCTGGCTTTTGGAGTAAAGTATGCGACTACAACGCCGTGCAGTCCCCACTCCAGGTTCCGAATCCACCGTGGAAACCCCCTTGGAAAATTCGAAGCCACCTGACTCCTGATTTTGCATTTTTGAATCCTGGCCAATTCTCCGAGGATCGTTTCCACTGCTTCGCACAATTTCATGTGATCGAAAACTGCAAGGACTCTCCCTCTAGTGTACTTGCAGGTACAGGTAAGGATTCATACAATAAGTTAATACAAGTTGGATGTTTCCTTTTCAAATTGCCGCCATTATCATCTACCGTGGGTGGTGATGCTTATGACCCAGCCAGTCGGGACCATTTCGGAGACGATGTGGAAACCAATTTAAGTTCACAATCAAAGTCTTTTTCTCGAGGGTCCGAGTACATGTACATGTACAGTGCAAGCGAGAAAACATCCAAGTCCATCCAGACTGTCGGGTCGCCAGGGGGCTTACAGTACCCGTCCGGGGGCTGCCGTTGGTTCTGAAACCCAGCGCCATGGTTCGTTCTCGGGAAGCCTGGCCTTACGTTCCCGGCACTCTGGTCTACACGTACTAGTTTATAACTTATAACATTATGGTTAAGGGGCGGTACAAGGATGTCGCTCTCGTTTCCGATCGGCTATGTTTTTCATACTGTACCGTATCTTACGTCCTTGATGGTCTCGTATCGGAGTCCCAGCGGATCGAGACTGAGCGGGGGTGTGTCCAGAGTGCCGGGACGCTATCACGTAGTGGGCTTACACTCCCTCCTTGTAGCTTCGGGGTCACCGTATTTGTTTACTTGTCATTTGCTATTCTTGTCTAGGATTATGGACTATCGTGGCTATCTTCTTACTGTACGGAGTAACATTAATCACTAAGGAATGGGTGCTGGGTGTCGATTATCGGGAGCCTGTTGGGGATATGTTTACTTCTTCTTCTTCTTCTTCTTTTTCAGTTTCTACATGTACAATGTGTGTCAAAATATTACTTGCATTTTATAGTATATTGTTAGGCCATTGAGTTCCTGATTGCGATTTTCTATTTTACTTTTATCCGGTGGGACTTTGGCGTAGGAGACCCGCATTCGATATTAAAGGGGGTACACGTCACATTCACTTGGATTGCACATGTAGATGGAAGGATTTACCTTGCCTGTCTTACTGGAATTGACTATGATCCATGCCTGCTGGACATACTGCAGATCAGTGATAGCCCAGATGGATGAAACTTTCGACTAGACGTGACAATCTATGGAGAATGCAGTTTCGAATCAGCGAGACATTTCCGCGTTGTCCAAGTTATGCCTCGGCAGTCTACACTGGTACGTCATATGTAATCAATCGTTCAAAGAATTACATATTAAGCATGACAATTTGGCTTGATCATAGCAAAGAGTGGGGTATAGAGAAAAGCACAAACGTAAGTACAGTACACGGCACAAAGTCGGAGCCAGAAAATATCAAAAACGTTCACCTATCACCTCCCATCTACCGAACATCCTCCCTCCCAGTCATAAACTTGACACCCGCCGCAATAATCTGCATAACAGTCTCAATCTCCGCCTCTGTCCGGGGCGCATAGATGAGAAGATATTCGGCTGGGATGTCTGGCCTGGTACCAAGGGAAATGTACGTCATGGCCGATGAGCCTGAGAAAGCGTGTCGCTGGCCCCAGCCTGCTTCGATTACTTTGATACCTGAATGGGAGTTAGTGCATGGCCATGCATAGGAAGCAGCAGGGATGACGGCAAAAAAGTCGGCAAAAAAGTCGGCTAAGAAAGACGCGATAAACATACAATCGGCTGGCGCGAGGAGAACATGTGCCGAGTGATCATTCCCCGAATGAATATGAGCGATCTCGTCATTCAAAATCCCAGACGAAGGAATATGATCAGCAAAGAAGAGAGCTGTGGTATGATTCTCGAGATTCGAGCGAGATAGTTTGACAAGGTGATGGTTGCGCAGACCGAAGGCATTGAACACATTGCGGAATTTCTATTAACAAATAGCAAAACAAAAGCAATTAGCGACCAGCTCATCCGAGCATCCAAGCATCCATCCTACTGAAAAGTGGACATATACATACCTCCATAACAACCTCATCCGGCACCTGCGTCAACTGCCTCTGCGGCACAACATGAGGCCCAACAACAGGCCTCCCCTCCTTCCTCCTCCCAAGCTGATCCTCAGACAACATCAAGAACCCCTCATCGCCCTTCCCATGCCCCTCCGCCGCCGCAATACGCTGCACATACTCGTCCGTACTGAGCATCTCGCGCCCGAACGGCTGGAAGAATACGCGCACGAGAATCCATCCTAGAGCGTTGTTTGGGACCCCGCCTGGGCCGTAGGATTTAAAGATTTTGTAATCGCGATATGCGGCTGGGAGGAGGAGCGTAGAGGTGAGAAGGGCGAAGGCACTGAGGGCGATGTTTACGCGTGAGTGGGTGTTGGGGATGATGGTGTTGAGGGTTGATGTAAGTGTCTGGAGGGTTGGTAGGGGCATTGTGGTGGTTGTCTAGGATGTTCACTTGATCATGGAGAAGTGAATAGAGGGTGAGTTTTGGTTCTAGGGTGCTGAAATATAATATGTCTCAGATGTCGGAGTCCCTCTCGGTCTGACGCGATCCCGAGGAATTCGCGTGAGGCTCCGGTTCTTTCTCATCTACATACACATACATGTACATGCTGTTCGTCATACGATGTACGATTTGGTGAGAATCCGAAATCCGATTCGTTATGCTACTCATATTTTTGTTATGTCTAGTGTGACTTGGGTCTATGTACTTCGTACAGAGTGCATGGCCCCCAAATGGGGTGGTGATCGGGCGCAGATGCAGCCACTTTGGCCCCAGGTTTTGACTCGGTATTGCTGTTTGCCGAATTCCGTGGGATTTGCTGTCACTGGAAGTATGTAGTTCGGGTTTACCGGTAGGTCGCGCGATGTCCGAAGCTTTTGTCCGACATTTGACGGTACGTTGGGACGGAGTAGCATGAGGATAGTCATTGTCGAAGTGTAGAGAATACAACAATCCAAACTGCACACTTTCAATCCTCTTTGCTCTCTTCCCTGTTGATGGAGGTCAAGGAATGTGCAAGCTTCAGAAGCACCACGCTCTCGGTTGCGGCGTAGTAATTCAGACTATATCGCTGTTAGAAAACAT